AATCCAGAAATGAAAAGCTGGTTATGAATATTAAATACAATATAAAGTTCAACTGCTTTGCATATTTAAAGTTGGAAACTAGAACTCTAATAGGTTTCTAAAAATAACAATCAGGACGAGAGAGATAGCACAGTGGGTAAGGCACATGCCTTGCAACCAGCTGATTGGGGTTTAATCCTCAGCATTGCATATGTTTTCCTGAGCACCACCAAGAAGGATCCCTTCCTGCAGTCAGGAGTAAGCCCTGAACACCGCTAGGTGTGGCCCAGAAACCAAAAACTAAATTAAAATTTAAATGATAGCCATATTAAATAAACTTCCCTTTTCCTCTTGAGTTATACACATTCCATGCATTCCTTTTGATTTATACCAGGAAAACAAAAGACCTTTCTAAGTATTACTCTAACAACTAAGATGTTTTCTCTTCTTCTTTACCTGTTCCCTCTGATTGACTTTCTGTGATTTGAGTTGTAACTAAGTTCACTGTCTTTTTAACTTCTTTGAAAGACTTTTCTCAATTTAGAACTGATTTTTTTCAGTAATTAACCATAGTTTGATCCGCCCCCCTGACATTCACCTTTATTTCTTCCACATTTTCTTTTCCTTTTATTCCTCACAACCATTTCTATTTTTACTATTTCATATTTATTGAGGGCTGGAGGCATAGCACAGCGGGTAGGGCGTTCGCCTTACAAGCGGCCAACATGGCCGACCCGAGTTCGATTCCTCCGCCCCTCTCGGAGAGCCCGGCAAGCTACCGAGAGTATTCGATATGCCAGACACAGTAACAACAAAGTCTCCAATGGAGATGTTACTGGGCCCGCTCGAGCAAATATTTATTGAATGCTTTAATGTTGTATATATTATTGTTGTTATTATTATTATTATTACTATAAATTCAGACCCATGTATGATAAGCAAGATTTATGTGGGCCCCTGAATCATTGTGTGCATGCCAACAGGTAATAAATGGTTTTCATAAATGTGCTGGCATGTACATAGGAATATGCTCAACAGATATCCATCATTTTGTGAGGATTTGTTATTCATGCAGGTAATGCAGGAAATAAATTGCAAATTCAGTTATCTGATTTCACATTCTTTTTTCCAAATGATAATAAACCTGGGCTGGAGCGATAGCACAGCAGGTAAGGCGTTTGCCTTGCACGCAGCCAACATGGCCAATCCGAGTTTGATTCCTCTGCCCCTCTCAGAGAGTCCGGCAAGCTACCGAGAGTATCTCGCCCAAACGGGAAAACCTGGGAAGCGACCCGTGATGTATTCGATATGCCAAACAGTAACAATTGTCATAATGGAGACATTATGGGCCTGCTTGAGCAAATCCATGAACAACAGGAGGACAGTGACAGTGACAGTGATAATAAACCATTTACTTTAGCAATAAAAGTTTATTTACTTTCTTAATATTACAATGGAGACATTACTGGGCCTGCTTGAGAAAATTGATGAACAATGGGAGGACAGAGACAGTGACGGTGACTAAGACATCATTAAATCATACACATGACAAAAATTATTTTCATAGCTTTCTTAAAATGACAGTAAGAAATTAACTAGCAAAGTGTATTAAGTATTAAAAGAAACCTGAAAACAATTATCATATCATTTTTTAAAATTAAAAACAATCACTTTAGGGGGGCAGAGTGATAGTACAATCAGTAGAGGGCTTGCCAAGCACACTGCCAACACGAGTTCGATGCCTGACATCCCCTAACATGCCTCAAAGCCCTGCCACGACTATCCTTGAATGCAAAAACAGAAGTGAGTCCTGGACACCAAGTATGCACCCTCCATGCACGCACACAAACAAAACCGAAACAAAACAGAACATTGCTTTAATGATTTAAAGTGGGGAAGAAGTCAGCTCAGTGAATATAAATGGGCTTCCTCAGTTTGACTGGAAAAAAAAATTATCTTGGTTATTTTTTTATGGGTATTTTTTTGGCAGGGTGGGAGGATGGGCCAAACCTGTCAATGTTTAGGGATTACTCCTGGCTCTGCACTCAGGAATTACTCCTGGTGATGCTCCAGGGACCATATGGGATGCTGGGGATCAAATCTGTACTAGCATGTGCAAGGCAAAAAGCTCTACCCGCTGTACTCTTTCTGGCCCTAGGAGAATTATCTTCTGGAGACTTTAGAACAGTAAAAAGCATTTGTTATTTATGAGCAAGAGTAAACTGAACTGAGGAAGAAAACAGTGGGGCTTAGGCATGGGAAGTAAACAAAAAGGCATAATAATACTATTGTAAATAATATAACACAAAGTAAAAGTAAAGTAAAGTAAAGGCCCTCCCATTGATCATCAATTTGCTCGAGCGGGCCCAGTAACGTCTCCATTGGAGACTTTGTTGTTACTGTGTCTGGCATATCGAATACTCTGGGTAGCTTGCCGGGCTCTCCGAGAGGGGCGGAGGAATCGAGCTCGGGTCGGCCATGTTGGCTGCGTGCAAGGCAAACACCCTACCCGCTGTGCTATCGCTCCAGCCCATAACACAAAGAACCAGCAGATATTAAAAGAGTAAAAATTTTCAAGGAGGGGCTGGAGAGAGAATACAGGCGTTAAGGTGCTTTCTTTGCATGCTTCTGACCCCAGTTTCATCCCTGCATCAGCAGGAGTGATTCCTGAGCAATGAATGAGGAGTAAGAACTGATGGCTATGGCCCAAAAACAATAACAAAACATTTTAGGAGTAAAATTACTGAGATTTCATGTAGTATTCAGAACAGAGGTAGAAAGAACTTTGACAGAATGATGGCGAGGATGGGTGTAGATGTAGGTAAGAATGGGGGCTAAAGAAAAGTATTTTCTTAAGAGAATTCACATATAACAGCTTACTATTTTATCAGTGAAATAAGGGAAAAGTACAAAAGTAGGCCAACTGGAAAAAATTATGATGAGATTGTAGATTAGTATTGAGATGGAATGTCAATTATTTGTAATATTCACATTTGATAAAATGGCAATTCTCTCTTGCTTTGCAATCAACCTGAGAATAGAAATGGGAAAGAAATTTCATTCTGTAAGATATTAGGGGGAATTTGGGATCTCAGGTGCCAATACTTTTTAAGAAGTATTAAAATGATTGGAACTAAGTAGTGTGGAGTCGAAGTCACTAGTGATAGAAGTAAAGCCAGCTGGAAAATGTCAGGAAAAAAAAGGATGGAGTCAAGGATTAGAACTGCTTCTCTGGTAACAGCAATCATTGAATCAGTAGAATGCCTTAAGGATCCCAGTGCTGTAAAATTAGTTACTGCCACTTGATTGGGAAACTTATCACTGCCCTGACACAAAGAAGCCATTGCCTTTGCAAGACTCAAGTTCTTCATTTCTCCATGTGTTTGCAGTAGCATCATAAAGATAAAGCAAAATTCTACTCTAATGGCACCTGAAGTATTAAATCTGAGAAGAAATGAAAGAGAAAATAGTCATTCAAAATCTGATCCTGTAAAGCAACTATGGTACATCAATACAATAACATAATAATATCATTGTATTATATTTATATTATATACTATGCAGCTGTTAGGAAAAATGAAGTCATGAAATTTGTTTATAAATAGAGGGACATGACGAGTCTCATGCTGAATGAAATGAGTCAGAGGGAAGGATTGACATAAAATGATTGCCCTCCAGGGACCTCATGGGAAGGGGGGCGTTCTGGGCCGTTTTCCACGCCCGATCGAGGTCACCAGCTGCCCCCCACGAGCGGCTCTCCGGCACGGCCACGGCCCCGGAGGCACAAGGACTTAGCACAGAGAGCCACCCGCTTGGAGCAGAAAAGCAAATGGAGTATGTGTTAAACCGCGCCAGCATGCCTGCCCGGAGGGGAAAGGGTGTTGACCCGCTCGACCGCTCCTCTCTGGAAAGAAAGATGGCGGCCGCACGGGAGCCTTGTGGAAAGCAGGTTTGAGCCGGGGGTGGTGGGAGCGGCAGGGACCTCATGGGAAGGGGGGCGTAATGGGCCGTCCTTCACGCCCGACCGAGGTCGCCAGCTGCCCCCCACGAGCGGCCCCAGAGCACAGAAACCAATCTCTTAACTATCTAACTTTTAATAGAAATTCTTCCAGGGTTAATAAGTAAAATAGCAGAAATCCAAAACATCATTTTATTCTTAAACCAAGTTGTAGAAAGCAAATCATTTGACAACGCTGTTTCAGCATGTCTGATTGGGGTGGGGGGTCGTAAACTCTAAACAATAATTGTGCATCTTCTATCGAAACAACGTATCTAGCCAAAGTAGATAGAGTATTAACTAGAACTAATCTGCCTCACAGGAATTGGGAGGGGTGGGAGGTGGGGTTCTATTGGGGTTCGCGGTTAAAAATAAGTATTGGTAAAGGGAAATGTGTTTGATATTTACATGACTGAGACCTAAACCCGAAAGCTCTGTAACTTTTCCCACAGTGATTCAATAAAGAAATAAATTATAAAAAAAAAGATTGCCCTCATTTGCAGGATATGAAAAAACATAGTATGAGAATAATTCCCAAAGACAATGGAAGGCCAGGAGGACTGGTCCCTGGTAGGAAGCTTGTCAAAAGTTATGGGGAGTGCAATTAGGACAGAGAAAGGACCACTTGACACTAATAGTTGGAAATGATCGATCTGGACAAGAACAACGTCCTGAATGAAAGTGGATGTAGTGATATGCATGATATCTTTCAGTGACAATATTGCAAACCACAGTGCCTAAAAGATAAAAAAAAGGGGAAAAAGAAAAGAAAAGTGTCTACCAAGAGGCAGGCTGAAGGGCCTAGAGGGAAACTGGGAACACTGGTGGTGGTAGGAAATGTACACTGGTGAAGGGACATGTGTTGGAACATGGCTTGACTGAAACCCAATCATGAACAACTTTGTATCTCACAGTGATTTAATTTTTAAAAATCTATTTTTTAAAATCCTGATCTTGTTCTTTTCTATTTTACCTTGAAATGTGGATAGCTGCTGATTCTCTAACTTTTTCTTTATTGTTTTAGAAGTCCTGTAAATGAAGAAAATCAAGATGCTGTCATGCACTCAGATGGTAAGGGGCAAAAATATTTTCTATTTTTCAATGATCTCATACACAGAAGTTTGAATTAATTATTCTCTTAGGATAGTGGGTCATCAGCATGAGTACCAGTCTATATAGCACTTGTATTACTTGTTTATTCCCTTTTTCCCTCCACGATCTGCTCCTTTTCCTCTCTTCTTACTGAAACAAATATTTTAATGTATTGAAAGTGTAGATATCTATATTTTCTTCAGATACAATAGCATGTGGGAACACATTTCAATTTATATGCTTCTAGCTTTCTTTGATCTTATCTTTATTCAACAGGATGATTTTGGGGGAGATCCATGCTCTGTGCATATTTAATTTGTGCTGTTAACATGCACGGAAAGCACTCCCTGGTATGCATTTCATGCATAGACATTTTCTCTCTAACTCACTCTACCATAAGTGGTATTCAGTTGTTTTTTTGTTTTTCTCTTTGCAGATCATCTATGAGGAGTTAGTAGAAAGCCCATTTTATATCCTCAATTAAGGATTCAGTTTTCTTATTACCATATTCTGAATGTTATTTTTCTCTTATTAGTTTGTGTACCACCTTTATACTCTTCAACTCTATGTGTCTACGTTTATCTATGTATACACATTATATATACATATCTATGTAAATTTAACTTTTAATTCTAAAATCTATTCCATTGGTCTATTTTTCTAATACCAAAATCACGCTTTTTATTGATATTGGTATTTATCTTAATATTTTATAATTAGTTGATATTTCTAAACACTTAAGCAGTAAAATATTTTAATCTTATTAACTTGATTTGATTCATGAAAGGAAGCCCTTTGGAACAAATAACAAATGAAAGGTATGAAATAGTTGTAGTGTTCCTTTTTTTTTTTCAGATTTGATTGAGGCACCATGATTTATAATTTGTTAATAATAGTGGTTCATGATTACAATGTTCTAACTTTACACCCACTACTAAAGTGTCCACCTCCCTCCACCAATGTCCCAGGGTCCCCTCTCATCTACCCACTTCTCTACCTCTTGGTAAATCCAGTTCTGTGGGTTAACTTTTAGGTTCTGTTACTTTTTGCCATTTGCTATTTCCTTGTTATGTTTCTTTTTTAATTTTTAAGTTTTTAGATTTTTTTGCCTTACAATACCATTAACAACGGTTTCTGATGGACATAATTCCAATACCATACCTTACTATATTTCTTTATATTCTACAAATGAAAGAGTTCATTCTATCTTTATCCCTCTCCTTCTAACTGACTTCTTTCAGCTTGATACCCTCTAGTTCTAGATACATAGCAGGGAACTTCATGATTCCAATTTTTCTTATAACTGAGTAGCAGCATTCCATTGTGCACATATACCACAAGTTCTTCATCCAGTTTTAAGTTCTTGGGCACTTGGAGTGTTACCAGATGAAAGCTAATGTGAACGATACTGTTGTGAGCACATATGTCTTTTCAAAGTAGTATTTTGGGTTAGATGCAAAAAAATGGAGTTGTTGTGTCATAGGGAAGCTTAAAAGTCTTAGTTTTTTGTGAACTGTCCATTTTGTTTTCCAAAATGATTGAGTCAGGGGTTGGAGCGATAGCACAGCGGGTAGGGTGTTTGCCTTGCACGCAGCCGACCCAGATTCGATTCCCAGCACCCCATATGGTCCCCCGAGCACCGCCAGGAGTAATTCCTGAGTGCATGAGCCAGGAATAACCCCTGTGCATTGCCGGGTGTGACCCAAAAAGCAAAAAAAAAAAAAAATGATTGAGCCATTTGACATTACCACCAGTGGTGGATGAACATTCCTTTTTCCCTACATCTGCACCAACTCTGGTTGTTTTTATATTTGTGATGTCTGACCATCTCACTGATGTAAGATAATAACTAATTGATATTTTCCACAGAGGCTGAAGCAGTTGGCATTAGACACTAGTTAAAATTTTTTTAGTATTGTTGTTCTACACAAGACCACTGAACCAGATGTGCATGTCTTTCATACAAGACTAAAAGTTGTCTTCATTAATTTTTGGATTTTATAAAATTTAGTGAAATTAGGCCCTCCCGTTGATCGTCGATTTGCTCGAGCGGGCCCAGTAACGTCTCCATTGGAGACTTTGTTGTTACTGTGTCTGGCATATCGAATACGTCACAGGGAGCTTGCCAGGCTCTGCCGTGCGGGCGAGATACTCTCGGTAGCTTGCCAGGCTCTCCGAGAGGGGCGGAGGAATCGAACTCGGGTCGGCCATGTTGGCTGCTTGTAAGGTGAACGCCCTACCGCTGTGCTATAGCTAAGTCATAAACGGTATTAAAAAGTATTAAAGTATTAAAAATATTTAAGTATTAAAAATATATACATATATTTTACATATCTTTGACAAGATATGTTATTATGAACTGCTTTGAATATTATGTGTGATTATTTGTATCATATTGCTTCTTAAATATAGTACCTTAATTTTATTCTTTTTTAACCTTTCAGGTGCTGGAAATATAGATGAGGTTGGATTTTTTTTCTTCTTATGTGTATGGCTGTGACAAAACATTTAGTAATTATTATGATTTACGCTCTAATAGTATAAATCAAATTTAAATTATGTGAGTAATTATGACATTTTCTTTTTAAAATCTATTTTACCTAAAATATTTGAAACATTAAATGTTCATTATTACACTGATTTATAGCATCATCACAGAACTTAATTCTGGCTACACATCTGGTTTGTAGGGAAAGACATAAAATGAAATATTTTGTGTTCACCTTCTCAGGCTATTTCTTAAAGGGAAAACATTTTTTAAAAGCCAAATTTACATACACTTAAATTTGAGTTTGCTTCACTAAGTATTTGATTACTGTAATATGTGTCTGATGTCTTTTTGAATAATTAAAATTTATCATGATTTATGCTTTATCAACAGGAAGAAAGTGAAGGAGAAACCTATGAAGACATGTATGTGTAATACTTTTCATCTTATATCCTTTCTAAGTTGATTGTAATATTTCATTATGTGGGAAAGTGCATATACAGCATGGGAAAGTTCAACTGACTCACATTTAATGATCATTGTATTTCAGTAGAAAGGATTAGATATTCTTTACTTCTCTAAAATTTTTTATAGAAAACTCTCAAAAATCTATCAGTAAAGATTTGAGAGAAATATAGTCTACTAGGACAGTCACAGGCAAGAATCGAGAGCCAAGTTTTACCTTTAGGTGTGTTGTTAGATAACTACATTAATTTATTTATAACTTCCTCCTCTGAGCGGTGCTTTCCTCTCCCAGTGGTATGAGAAATAATTTATCGCGGCACAGATGCCAAAGTAAAAGAAAAAGATATGCCAGAGGCACTCTAAAATGATTTTTGAGTAGCCCAGGACCAACACATTCTTGAAAATATAAACATGTTTCTTATGATGACTTCAAATATCTACTTTTTTTTTTGGTTCAGTTAATTCTGAAGGAAGTTTCTGAATCAAGGCTTACATATATATGTTCTTGTACCTTTATGTGTAAGTTTATGTAAAGATATGAATTCCACTCAGGCTGACATGAGTAAGAACGGGGCCATTGTAAACAATGACTTTCACTTGCTGGCACAGTAGAAAAGGGAGTGGGCTGACACATAAACACGTGAAGCCATATGCCTGGCTTCATATGGCTGTGTCCATATCTGGGACCCTTTCACTAAAATATCAACCTAGTTGATGAAGAGCCACCTGGAGTAGTCTCCCAGGAGACTAAATAAGCTAGTGACACTCCTGTTCCCTGTCCCCACCCCTACCACCCCCAAAAAAGTATTAGAAGAAGAAGCAGAATTATTAAAAGGTATTCTCAGTTATATGTTTCCTTATGATTTGAGTGACACTCTTCCATATCCAGCTATGTTGACAACCCTTGGCCTTTCACTAACATCTTTTTTTCCCCATAAACAATTTATTATAATTGTATTGACACTGATGAAGGATGCAATAAGAGGTCAAGACCAGTAAAGACAGGGTGAGCTACTGTCCACTGCAGATGCTAAGGTTCTCTCAGCCTCTCAAGGCAACCACCAAACTTCATCCAAGTTCCATGCTATCTACAAGGCCTGGGAATTAATCTATGTCACACAGATCTCAGAGAGCTTCACTAACATCTTTACTTCAGACACCCTCCTATTGTGGGTAGAAACCTCTCTGGATAATGAAAACATTAACACTTGCAAATGCTGAACAATTTTATTCACAGAGAAGCAACCAAAGAACGAGAGAAGAAAAGAGAGAAGGAGGAAAAGAAGAGACTAGAACTGGAGAAAAAGGAACAGAAAGAGAGAGAAAAGAAAGAACAAGAGATTAGGAAGAAGTTTAAAGTAAGATCTTTCTTGCTTATGGCTTTTTAAAAAACAAACAAACAAAACTTTAGGGCTGGAGCAATAGCACAGGGGTAGGGCGGGCATTTGCCTGGCATGTGGCAGACCCGGGTTCAATTCCCAGCATCCCATATGGTCCCCTGAGCACCGCCAGCAGTAACCCATGTGCATTGCCAGGTGTGACCCAAAAAGCAAAAAAAGAAAAAAAAACAGACAAAAAAAAGAAGAGCTTTATAACACACTCTAGAGGGGAACTATTTTGAAGCTATACATGATTGGTTTAGTTATCGTTTTCTACACAAGTGCCACCTTTCAAAACAGCAGTTTTTTCCTAATGTATTTTTTATCCCTGCATAAAAATTATAATACAATATGGGTCTGGAGCAAAAAGTACAGTTGATAGGTGTTTCCACAAGTCCAGCTCAGGTTTGATCCCACCAGCACTCCATATGGTCCTCCAAGCCCCACCAGGAGTGATCAGGAGAGCAGAGCCAGGAGTAAAACCTGAGTACCAGTGAGTGTAGCTCCAAAACAACGTAGTTATTGTTTTGTGACTACTGGGTGTTCAGGAAATCACATGTTGATTGAATGAGTGAATATTTACTTACTCAAACTCATCTTGGATCCCTTTATTACATATTTTCCCTCTATTACATATTTTCATATTTTCCTACTTAAACTTTGAGTTTCGGACCGCACACATGGATCTCACTGTAGCATGTATGATAGGGTAAAAAGACACAAATGCCCACAGCTAAACTTTATCTGTCTGGAATAAAATTTCTTTAAACTACTACAATTACTGGCATCTTACATCTTTACCTTTATTTTAGACCTACCTATATTTTGACTTCCTTTTTTTTAAAAAAAAATATTTTTTGTTGAATCACTGTAAGCTATGCATTTACAAAGTTTTTCATGATTGGGTTTCAGTCATACAATATTCCAACACCCGACCCTTAACCAGTGCACATTTCCCATCACCAGTGTTCCGGGTTTCCCTCCACCCACCCACCCCCTCAGATTTTGACTTCTGATCCCTGCTGTTTCTAATTCCCCTTTGTCTATGTGAATTTTTTTTTTACTCTGTCTTCTTTGAACTCCGATTTTTATTTCTATGGTGACTTATTGCTACCACTGCATTTGCAGGCTATACTCTTAGCTGTACCACATTGTAGGGGAGAAGGAGTAGGAACACAGTAGTACTTGGGCTCTTCTTAGCTCTGTGTTCAATAGTGACCCCTGGCAGTGCTGGAGGACCATGCATCGGGGATGTCCTGAAGGCACAGCAAATGCCTCACTCCTGCTCCATCTCTCCAGCCCTAGCTGCATCATTGCACCATCTTTATTTTATTATTATTATCGGGGAGTGGCTCTTTGGCTTTTTGGATCACACCTGGCAATGCTCAGGAGTTACTCCTGGCTTTACACTCAGGAATTACTCCTGACAGTGCTCGGGGGACCACAATGGATGCCAGGGATCAAACCCAGGTCAGCTGTGTGCAAAGCAAATGCCCTCCTAGCTGTACTGTTGCTCTGCACCATCTTTAATGAGCTGATTCATGTATTTTAGGTCTAGTAGCACTATAGTCCTGTCCCCCCGTTGTTCATCAGTTTGCTCAAGCAGGCACCAGTATAACGTCTCACAACAAACTGTGAGACTTGTTGTTACTGTTTTTGGCATATCAAATACATTACGGGCATCTTGCCAGGCTTTGCAGTGCAGGCGAGATACTCTTGGTAGCTTGCTGGGCTCTCCAAGAGGGGAGGAGGAGTCTAGTATATCAGCTATATTTGGGTAATCGTCTAAATTGTAAAATTATTCTTATGTCAAAAAAGGATTCAGATCAAGTTTTTTAAATATTTCTTTCATCTGTAATATTCAATATTGGGTCAAATTATATAAATTTGATTGATATTTTTAAAAAGTAAGTTCAACAACATGGTGAAAGAAAACAAAAATTAGATTCAGTTGGTTAGATGTGGGTTTAAATTCCAGTTGCACATAAAAATTACGGTACTTAGGCACCTTAGAAAGCACCTTATCTTCTTTATTTTTATTTATTTATTTATTTATTTATTTATCTTTGCTTTTGGGTCACACCCGGCAATGCGCAGGGGTTAATCCTGGCTCTGCCTCCAGGGGACCATATGGGATTCTGGGAATCGAACCCAGGTCAGCCACATGCAGAGCAAACATCCTACCTGCTGTGCTATGACTCCAGCCCCTGCCTTATCTTCTTGAAAGAGACAGTAAATGATATTATTAAAACTTTATTGTGGAATTAAGTAAAGTAGTATACATATGGCACCATATCTCTTAAGAGTTCTCATTAGTTTTATTAAAAATTTATATGAGCAAAATTAGTATCACTATCACTATAACCCCATTGTTCATTGATTTGCTCTAGCAGGCACTAGTAACATCTCCATTCATCCCTGTCACGTGCTAGTGTAGCCCAATGGCATACTGGGGTCTCTTTCAGGGTCAGGGGAATGAGGACCATCATTGTTACTGTTTTTGGCATATCGAATATGCCACTGGTAGCTTGCTAGGCTCTGCCGTGCGAATGGGATACTTTCAGTAACTTGCTGGGCTCTCCGAGAGGGATGGACCTTTTGGGGCACCGTCTAATCACCTTTACAGGTGTTCCCAGTCAGGCATACATGCGGGCAGAATGCTCTCAATAGCGTGCCGGGTTCTTTGAGAGTGAGTTCATTTTATTAAAATTTATTAAATTTTAAGTTTATTAACAATTAATATGAGGAAAATTAGAATATTTTTATTAAAATTTTATTAATAGATTTTAGAGGTACATCTTTGCTTTTCAAATGGAAAATTTGAAAAATGAATTTATTGCATAATTATCTCAATTGCACTTTTTTGGTGTGGAATGAACTTCCAAGCAGTGCTCAGGGGTCCAAGAGTCACTTCCAGTGATACTCGGTCAACAGAATCTTTGGTTCAGTGTTAGAATGAAAGACACAGTGCTGCTCAGCTTTGCTATGCCATGGATTACCCAAATCACCTCAGCTATAGTAGGGGGTCTAAGGGCTATACCTGTAATGCTCTGGGAGCCACGTGGTACCAGGGATTGAACATGGATCAGACATGCACCCAAAACCCTGAACTATCTCCCTGGCCCCTTCACTTTTTATGGAGACTTGTTTTAGTGTTGGTAGATGGGTGTGAAATAGTTCTGTACGGTTCTTTTGGAAAAGTTGGTTTTGGTTGCCTGACACATTCCTTCAAATCAGATTTTTAATGACAAAATAAGAGATAAAAACATACCACTGAATATAAACTCACAATCTTATCAAGATGAGTGTGTCACAAGCTATAGTTTTCCCACAAAATGTTAATTGATATTAAAATTAGATCAATGTGTGAACTGTTATTTCTTATCATCATTCATTAGTTTGAAGATAAATTATTCGATATTTAAAAATTCTGAAATTGGAATGCATATTAAAATCATCACTGTCACTGTCACTGTCCTCCTGTTGTTCATCAATTTGCTTGAGCGGGCCCAATAACATTGTGAGACTTGTTACTGTGTTTGGCATATGGAATACGTCATGGGTAGCTTGCCAGGTTTTGTCGTGCAGGTGAGATAGTCTCGGTAGCTTGCCGGGCTCTCTGAGAGGAGCAGAAAAATTGAACTCTGGTCAGGCGTGTCGGTCACGTGCAAGGCAAACTCTCTACCCGCTGTGCTATCACTCCATCTCTTAAAATCATCAGTAGAAAATAATCTAATTTAAGTTGCTTTGCATTTCTTAGTGTTGAATAATAAACATCACAATTTATAGCACTGTGGGCTCAATAAAATAAGGTTGAGCTTATTCAAAACTTGCAACTCATATTGCATGTCAAAAGATACAGGAGGGGGGCGGGAGCAATAGCACAGCGGGGAGGGCGTTTGCCTTGCACGCGGCCGACCCAGGTTCGATTCCCAGCATCCCATAGGGTCCCCCGAGCACTGCCAGGAGTAATTTCTGTGTGCATGAGCCAGGAATAACCCCTGTGCATGGCCGGGTGTGACCCAAAAAGCAAAAAAAAAGAAAAAAGATACAGGAGGGGCCAGAGCTACAGTGTGTAGGGAATTCGTCTTCACATGGGGCTGACCCGGGTTCCATCCCCAGCATTCCTTTTAGACCTCTGATCTGTCGGAACTGGTCCCTAAGCATATATACAGGAGTAAACTCAGAGCAACACCAGGTCTTCCCCCACGAAAAAAATATACAAGATATTCTCTTTAAAAGACATGTATTTAGCATTAGGAAATTAAGAGTTTAGGATTTAAACTAGATTATTCCCCTAAATAACACAAATAGGCTATTACGTTTTAAAGTCCCATAGAATATTTTCTTTTATTGCTATTTAAACATTTTTATTAAAGCTTAGGTAATATGGTTACAATAGTATCAAATTTCGTGGTATTGATATGCAAAGTTACTACACCCCAACCTCCATCCAGGTGCCCAAGGCCCTCCACCACTATCTCTGTGTCATTGCTATCCTGATCTTCATTAACTAGCTTCCCCAACTCCTCTCCCACAGTCTGGTAATCAATTCTGTAGTCTATGCCCAAGGGTTTGTCATTGTTTAATACTGTATACTTCCCTGTTTTCTCTCCCTCTATGCCACAGATAAATGAGATCATGCAGTATTTATTCCTCTCCCCGATTTCTTTTGCTTAACATGATATCCTCCAGTTCCATCCATGTTGCAATGAACAGCATGATCTCATCTTTTCTTACAACTACATAAAACAGATGTATAATATTTTTTAGAAAGCTATTTCTAGAATGTTGTTTTTATTTATAGCAGGTAACATCTGCTTCCAGTTTATGGATATGTGAGTACTACAAAGAGGAAATGCTTTTTCCCTATACACACAAACCATTATTATCACCTACCTTTCTCTTTATTGTTTCAGATCTGCATAGAACCAGCAGAATAACTATAAATTACAAATGTGGAAAGTGTCCATTTACCAGACAGATTGCTATCATATTTCACAGAAACACAGGGCATTTATCATGGCTTGTCATACATGAGTAATATCCTGATACTGGTGTCTGCTTTTGCAAATCTTTCACAGAATTTTTATTGCCCCTGAGTTGGACCCCACCCACGTGCTTTCTTGTTTGTTGCTGAAACCAGCTTAACCTTTGTGATTCCTCTCTATCTCTTCTGTGATAAGAGCATTCACCAAGAATGGCATTCACCCTCAATTTTCATTTCAAAGCATGAATGTTGAAAATAGGCAAGATGGGAAATTATGGATGTATTGTCTTTCAAAACTGCATTCCTTAAAGATTTTTTCAAATAGGAAGAAAACCTGTTACGATTTTTTTCTTCCCTTTGCAGCTAACAGGCCCTATTCAAGTCATCCATCATGCTAAAGCTTGCTGTGATGTCAAAGGAGGAAAGAATGAATTGAGCTTCAAGCAAGGGGAGCAAATTGAAATTATCCGCATCACAGACAACCCTGAAGGGAAATGGTTGGGCAGAACAGCAAGGGGGTCATGTGAGTGCAAATGCTTCTGTGATTTCAAAGTGTTTGCTTTTGAAGCCAATATTAAATGTTTCAAATCCTCCCAAATTAAGTTAGGGTATGTGGCACTTAGACAAAGATAGGAAGATTTCAAATGACAGGGACAAGTATGGCTCCATCTTCACCTCATCTATGCTATTTTTTTTAGTGGGGGAACAATGTAAACATTTATATTACTACAGCAAGAAGTGAAAACCTTGGATTCTTCACTGTTTAACAGGCTAAAAATGATCTATGTTAATCCCTTGAAATCTTTAAAATCAATTCTAGTCTGACTCCAAACAACACTATAAGACTTTTATTAAGTATACTAAAACCTGTGTGGCAAGTCTATCAATCAGAATTGCAAGCAAATTCAGGGATGGGAATTTTTTTTTTCTGCCAATAGTCCTTTAAATATTTATAACTTTATTCTGGGAGCATACCATATAGGCAGACAGGCGACAGGCAGCCACCAAGAAGCATACATGTCTGTTTCCTTATGGACCAGATCACATGATTTGGGAGGCTTTCCACGACCCCCTAGACCAAATGTTCCCCACCTCTGAAATAAATGAGGGAAAACTTTAAAGACCAAATGTGCAATTTGACAGCTTAGAAATATTTAAACACCTTTTGGCTGAACATGAATCATTCTCCTGTTGGCAGATGGCTATATTAAAACAACTGCTGTAGAGATTGATTATGATTCTTTGAAACGGAAAAAGACCTCTTTTGGTGCCCTTTCACCCAGACCTGCAGAGGATGACCAGGAACTCTATGATGATGTTGTAGAGCAGGACACCACCAACAGGTATGTATGTACAGAGATACCTTGTAAAAGTGGCAGAACTATCTGCTGGTCACTGTTTAAGAGCCTGAAATTTTCAATTTTCATTTCAATGAAATGACCATTTATAGTAGCTCTGCCGTGGATTAAGGTCATGCAAAATTACACAGTGTTCCCTTTCTCTCTCTCTCTCTCTCTCTCTCTCTCTCTCTCTCTCTCTCTCTCTCTCTCTCTCTCTCTTTCTCTCTGGTTCTGGAACGATAGCACAGCAGTAGGGCATTTGCCTTGCACACAGCCAACATGGCCGACCCGAGTTCGATTCCTCCGCCCCTCTCGGAGAGCCCAGCAAGCTACCGAGAGTATCTCGCCCGGACGGCAGAGCCTGGCAAGCTACCTGTGATGTATTTGATATGCCAATCACAGTAACAACAAAGTCTCCGATGGAGACGTTACTGGGCCCGCTCGAGAAAATCGATGAACAACGGGAGGACAGTGATCATATATATATATATGTCATATATATATATATGACAGCTTGCAGATGATGGCCCGTTTGTCAGATCTTGTCAAATGTATGGTCATTCCAATACGCTGTCATAGAATCTTCATTCTACTTTTTTTAAATTTTTATTTAATTTTTATTTATTTATTTATTTATTTTTAATTTATTTTATTTTTATTTTTTAATGAATCACCGTGAGATACAGTTACAGACTTACAAACTTTCAAACTTTCAAGCTTACATTTCAGTCATACAATGATCAAATACCCATTCCTCCACCAGTGCCCATTCTCCATTCTCCACCACCAGTGTTCCCAGTATCCCTCCCACCATCCCTGATTTTTATCTTAGGGATGTGCCAAGAAAATAACATTGTGTAAAATATGAAGCTTGAAGGGTTGGGAAGATAGATCCCCCAAAAAGAGCACATTTCAAGGATAGGTGAGGCCCTGAGTTTGATTCCCTAGAACCATGCCAAGTGGGACCCTGATTATAAAAAGCATATGTACAAAGCGATCACGATCACGATCACGACCATCCTGTTGTTCATCGATTGCCTTGAGCAGGCCCCAGTAACGTCTCCTTCGTCCTAGCCCTGAGATTTTTTAAAAAGTGCCATATTAAAGGCTCTTTCAAAATTAGGAGAATGAGACCATCATTGTTACTGGTATTTGGCATATTGGGTATGCCACGGGGAGTTTGCCAGACTCTGCCGTGTGGGCAGGTTACATTCGGTAGCCTGCCAGTTTGTCCAAAGAAGGAATGAGATAACAAGATGTCACAATGTTGTGGGGCGGCGAATGCAGCCGCGCTTCTGGGAGCTGGGTTACACGGCGCCAGGGGGCCAGTTGGTGGGTGTGACCCCTGCCTACTGGAATTTGGAGGATCTGGGTGGAGGATGCTCAGCCCTGATCCGAGCAGGTTTGGAGAGCTCAGGCCCTGGACCCGCATGCCTTTGTTCCTCGGCCGGTACCTTCATGTGTGTGGAGAGCCACCACCATGCTGAGACCACTCTCCACACGCATGTACAAAGCATAAAATATAAACTTAAGCTCTGAAAAATTACCCCAAAATTTTTATACTGAAATATCTAACTCTTAATGCACCTGTTGTTTATATGTGAAAAAGGAAAAAGGGCTGGCAACATAGTCCCAGAGCTAAGGTGGTTTCCTGGGTGCAATCACTTCAGCTGCAATCTGGGTTTCATCCTCCATGGTGCCCCCTATTGTCCTCTGAGCACCACCAGGAGGTTATCCATGAGCACAGAACCAGGAATAAGCCTTGAGTACTGCCAGATACAGGCCAAAAACCAAATAAGTAAATAAATTATAGAAAAATGAATTCTTTTTCCTACAGCTCTACCTTGATGTTGCAAAGTGAAATCTTAATTTCCTGTCATCACTGAGATTTTACTCTGACATGGTCAGCAACTTGCATCTCAGTGTGATGGCAGGGGATGGTGGTCAAGGATAACTTCCAACAGTGCATATTTTTGTTAGGGCCTGAATCCAGGCAACCAGTGCCTATGCCAGCCATAGCTCACGCGAGAGGAAAGCAGAAGGCAGCTGCAAATCTTGGAGCCTCTGAGCAGCACCAGCAGCACCCAGAGAGTCAAAAAGGTGTTCTTAGGGGGAGATAGGTGCTGCTCTCCCCACAGTGCTCCCCAGCACCCTCCACCTCGCTTGCTCTGAGCTGGAGAGGACTATGTGTGTGTGTGGAGGCTGAGATCACCTGCTGAATTATAGGTGCTTGTGAAATTGGAGTGGGCAGGACCTCTGCAGGAATGAGCTTTTAGGAGAGCAAAAAAGGGTGTGTGATTCTTCTTCCTTGAAACCACAGAATGAAGTTCATTTTCTTCCTGGCAGCAGGTCAGAGAGGAGCGCAGCCTTTATTAGAGAGCCACTGGACTGAAAACCCTTTAGTCTCCAGCACTGGGAGGGATGACCCAAACAGAAAATCCTGCTTGTGTCCAGGCAGATTGTCCAAATAAGCCCAGGGCTGGACATGAGGAGTCGGGATGAGGAGGGAAAGAGGAGGAAGACGAAACTTCAGAAGTCTTGCTTACTCCATTTCAAAATCCATGTGGGACTTCCTGGGGAGCCAGCAGGGCACATCTCTAGAACCCCTACCTTGCACCAGCCCAGTTTATAGAGGTGTGCTGAGGACCCCAGAGCATCAGTTATAAGTTTTGGTCATTGGTCAGTTGTGTTATATGATAAGATGTGAGGTGAGGTGAGGTGAGGTGAGGTGAGGTGAGGTGAGGTGATGTGTCAGTCAACTTGCAGCACCTTTTTCTTCTTTGCTTTCTCTTCTTACCTTTGACTTCTTTTCTCCATGTCTCTCTTTCCCTTATCTCGCATCTTCCTTTGTCATTTATCTATCCTGATTTTTCCATGCCCCTTCTCCTTTTAATTCTTCTTTCCTCCAGTATACTTCCCTCTCCAACTAGGAAAGTCATAATCTCCAACTAATAATAGAAAAGGAGGAAAATCTCAGCTCTGTCAAGAAAAATTATTTATTGACATTTACGCTGTGAATGTGGAATTCTTCCCCAGAAACCAGACATGGTCAGGGCTAGCATTGCCTTGGGTAAAAAATTGTCCACGTTCTTCATAGCTCAAATTCCAAAGGAAAAAACAGTTTAATTAGTAACTATCTAAAAAATGTAAAACTATTAAAATAGTGCTATGAGGGCCAGAGAGATAATACAGAGGGTGTGTCGCTTGCTGTGCACGCTCCAACCCCAGTTTGATTCCCCAGTTTGATTTCCCCATCCCATGTGGTCCGCTAGGAGTGATCCCTGAGCACCGCTGGGCGTGGACCAAAAATAAAAACAACATGTTGATATGCTTCCAAGACATGTAAGGGATCAGCTTTCCCTCATGTGTACTTTTTTTCTTATTATTTAGACTTGTTATGTTGCAGTCGGGAAATTTTATATATTCAAAAGGAATGACAACCTGAGATGCCTCTCTTTTATCCTGTTCAACACAAGTTTTTCAACATAGATCAAAAAATAAAATGGGTGCACAGGGACTCCAGCTCATAAATTGGCTTTTGTTATAGAAAACACATAAACATACTGTGCAAGTTAGTAAATGTCAGTCTGAGGGGCTGTTGGCTTTACAATTGACATATTATGAAAGCAAAATTTTCTGTGTATGTGTATGTGATTTACAGAATGTCTGGATACAAGTGTGTCATACAACACATAGTATCAATGCAAATGCTTTATCTTATTTTTAATTAAAAACCACATTTCTCTTGTCTGGGGATTAAAAAACTCTAGTTTATTGATAAATACATTTTAAGCTAATTTCCATATTCAGGGAAATATAAGAGATCACTCCATGAAAGGAGGAATGATTTGCTTAAAACATAGCATTCTTTAATCATGAGGGGTAATTCCCAAAAATAATACTAGGATCTTTTTAATTCTATTGAGTCACCTGTAAATACCCAGTTGTCAATGACCGGCTTTAGTTAACATGGTGCAGAAAAAGAGTGTTGTATTTAATAAAATGGAGGAGGACGTGTATGATTTTCATATTCAATACCTGAAGCAAGTCTTGCATCAAAACATTTACTAGAATCAATTCCCCTTATGTATATTTAATAAGCAAATGAAATAAGAAACATAATTTTTATGCAAGTTTTATATTTGAAACTCCAGCTGCTGCTGGCTGAGCCCTCCTAACAGAACACACTTTGTCCTTAGAGAAATAGGAATGATGCTGAGCCTAGCTGGCAGCTTGCTCTGGCAAGAGTGAGCAGAGGCACCATCCTTTCTCCCTTCTCCAGATGCTCCTGGTACCTTGCTGTCTTTCCCTGCTCTGCCCCTATATCTCCAGGGTTAGGATGGCTCCCTACGGGGATTTCAAATTCTGAGAAGGCAAGAGGCTAAAAACCCAGGTCCTAAAATCTGTTCTTTCTTTTTTTTTTTCTCTCAATAACAGTTATTTCTATATTAAATAGGAAACATTCAAAGACAGGAAGTTATAAATAAAAATACCACTCCATCACATAACACGCATTCTGCAGCACATGTCTCGCTGCCTTCCTTTAACCTTTTCTTCTTTCTCTTCCCTCACAATCTCCTTTTTTTTCCTCCTCCATTGCCAGTTAAATAGTTTACATTCTGAACTGACCATTTTAGGAAGTCAAAGAATTGTTCTAGGAATGAAATAATGTGTTTGTGGCATTGCTCCTGATTATTTTGAACCCTGATCTTTAGAAATTGGCAAGCAGAATCTGCAAGATGGAATAAATCTGCCAGGAATGAAAATCACACAAAGTCACAACTCTACATATTTCCAGCTGCTTGTTTCAAGCTCAAAGGGAAATAGCACAGAAAATGAATGTGATGATAGCACTTAAGCAAGTGAAAAATATACTAAACCTCATCAAAGATCATTTTCTTGGGGTCCAGACAGATAGTATTGTGGGTGAGGTGCTTGGCTTGCTTACAGTAAATCCAGCATCAACCGCAGCACCCCTTATGGTCCCCCAAACCCCACCAGGTCTGATCCCTGAGTGTAAGCCCTGAGCACAATCAGGTATGGTCCAAAAAAAATTTTTTTTTAAATTCTCTCTTATATTGTAATTTCCAACATGTTTTTCTACAAAGTTTCATTAGCAAGATTTTTATTTCAAAATTAACTGTAGATCTATGTCAGATTAACTCTTTGGGGAGGGGGCAGAGCGACTATCACCCCTCACAGTGCTCATGAGTTACTCCAGTCTCAGTGTTCAGGAGATACTGCAAAACCATGAAGTGCAGGAGATCGAACTCCAGTCACCTCCATGTAAAAGCTTGTCTGCCTATTGAGCTATCTTTCTGACCCAAATTAATTTATTTTATCTTGACTTTAAAGAAGAAAAAATCTGGTTCCGAGTTTGTTTTGTTTCCATTTAATTGTTACTATTCATTTATTCCTATAAGGGTCAACTTTTCTTTCTCTTTTCTTCCACGTAACAAAATGGAATTTTCATTTTATACAAGTGATATATATTCGTACATCTTTTTGTGAGCGCTAAATAACTCATGCTAATTTAATTTGTATGTATTTTTTTCCAGCCACAGTCATAGTGGAAGTGGAGGTAAGTCATATACTTCTATCTACAATTTCTCTAACAAATCTTCAACATTTTGGTGTTTATTCATGACAGAGTGATTTTATTTGCAAATAATGAGGATATTTGCAAATAAACACTGAGCTGGAAACCAATGACCTCACGTCCATCCTAGCCAGTGAATAATTTTCAGCAAGTCACTTCTAAATTTGCTATGAGTCCTAAGATGACTATAAATTCACAGTGCCCAGTGAAGTCTTAATTTATTCCAATTATCTGAGCAGGATTCTTAGCATGTATCTTTCAGAAATATGCTTGCATAAATGATTACTTATTTGATCTTCTTAGCTATAGCTTCTAAAGGTAAAGGTAAAGGCCCTCCCGTTGATCGTCGATTTGCTCGAGCGGGCCCAGTAACGTCTCCATTGGAGACTTTGTTGTTACTGTGTCTGGCATATCGAATACTCTCGGTAGCTTGCCGGGCTCTCCAAGAGGGACGGAGGAATCGAACTCAGGTCGGCCATGTTGGCCACTTGTAAGGTGAACGCCCTATCCGCTGTGCTATCAGGCGTGGTAAAGATCCCTGATTTTGTTATCAACAGAAAAAGAAAATTTTACTAACACCTAGCTGCTATTATTCTCATATTAAAAGTGAATTTTCTAGTTTGTTGTTTCTATTTCTGCACAGATCAACTACTAATTAAATGTGAAAGAATTAGGAGCCTGAAGAGAGTAGGCTAACAAGTTGAAACAGAAAGTAAGGGACTGGCATGATAGTACAGTGGTAGGGCGTTTACCTTGCACACAGCTGATCTGGGTTCAATTCCCAGCATCCTATATGGTCCCCCAATCCATATTCCATATGGTCCCCCAAGCACCGCCAGCAGTAATTCCTCAGCATCATCAGGGGTGACCCAAAAAGCAAAAAAAGAAAAAAAAAGAAACAGAAAGTGAATATAACAAATTAAATATCACTTTGATGAAATGAAATACAGAACAGGTCTGCTTTTCTTTGTTTATTTGTCGCAGCTTCCATCAGTATTTATAAGTTGACCTTTATACATTTGGGTATTTATTTATATCTTCATCAGTATGCTTCCTGAATATTTATTATTAACTAAATTCTCTTAATTACCTCCTTCCTTTTCTTTTTCTTGCAATGAATATTTAACTCTATTCATATTCTCCCCATTCCTTTCATTTCTCTGGAGATGAAGGTACACTGTACCTTTTCTCATCGCTGTACCCTTATTACATTAGAGTTCTAAAAATTACTTTTAAAATAAGAAAAAAATTTCAAATATGTGAGAGGTAGAAAACAAAGTTGATTTTTATTTATGTGGTTATTATTTTATAAGGAATAATTCACCTGTGTCTGTGGTAGCACAGCTTATAGTAGTCAAGATCTGGAAACAATTCAAGTGCTCAACAATAGATAAAGTTCTTCTGCTATATATACACATTTATATATATATACATTTATATATATACATTTATATATACATTTATATATCACAATCACAAAATCACAAATCATCCTGTTATTCGTTGATTGCCTTGAGCAGGCCCCAGTAACGTCTCCTTCATCCTAGCCCTGAGATTATATTCAAGGTTCTTTAGGAGAATGAGATCCATCATTGTTACTGGTATATATATATAAATGATCAATTCTACTTAACTTAAAAAAAATAAAATCTTGGGCTGAAGAGGTGCTTGTTTTACATGGACCAGACCCTAGATCAATCCCTGGCACCCAATATGGTCCCCAGAGCCCCATCAGGGTAATCCCTGACTGTAGAACCAGGAATAAGCCCTGAGTACTACTGGGTATGGCCCACAAGCAAACCACCAAAAATAGTGTTTTGGAGTTGGAGATATAATACAGTCGGTAGGGCTCTTGCCCTGCATACAGCCAACCCAGGTTCCATCCCTGGCACCCCATGTTGTCTCTGTGCCCACTTGGAGTGATCCCTGAGCACAGAGCCAGAAATAAACTTTGAGCACAGCTGGTGTGGCTCTAAAATTCAAAAGAACCTTTTTAAAAATTCATTTACAAAATAAGATCTTGCATTTTGCTACAGCCGGGATAGAAAGTATTCTTTTACATGAAATAAGTCATAATTTAAAAGACAATGGTCTCACTAATGTGTTATATAAATAAACAAAGCAAGATAATGACCATTGAAAAACAAGTTCTTAGACTCTGATAAAACTCTGATGGCAAAGGAGAGAAAGGAGAGGGTGGGGTAGGATAAAAGTTCTAGGGTCACTGGTGGGAGGATACAGGTAACGTAGTAGTAATGCTGGACATCTATGTCATTTATTAATACTATTATAAACCATGTTCCCTAATAATAGTAATACCCCAAATAAAAACGGATATTTTCTGCATGTAAAAGAAAACTAACATCATTATCAATTTTTGAGTAAACCTTTATATGGTGAAATTATAAAACTAAAAGATTTCCCCTCTTTTAATCTGAATAAAGGGATATTCCCCCCACCTCCAGACGATGATATTTATGATGGAATAGAAGAGGAAGAAGCCAATGATGGGTAAGAATAATCAGTAAATTACCTTTGTGTAAATTTTTTGCCATATATGCTGAAGTATGCTTTCTATTTTCATGTAGAGTAAGCATAAAAATGATAATTTTTTATTGTATTACCAATGTTTAAATTGGAAACAGTAGTAGACAATAACTGAACATCTAACAACTGAGCATATAGATTAAAAGAATCACAAAAACTACCAAAGGAAATGGGAAAATAATAAATAATTATAGATGGTATACATATTTTTACACTTTTTCCAATTATTTATTGATCAGTACTGATTTTCTTTTAAAATTTCTAAAGAGTTATGTAGCTATCCTTTGAGCAATGCATATAATCGTAGGCAATTCAAACAAATTAAAATTATGCTATTTGCAGAATAATCAGTAATGAATATTTAATTTTTAAGCTTCTAAACTTGAAATGGTATTTTGAAAATTCAAGATTTATTTTTTTATCTTAATCACAGAGTAAAGTTGAATTGATGTTTAAAACTTAATCCTGACTTAATTTGCTATACCAAGAACCAAGAAGAATGTCTCCAAGTAGAAAAAAATACTAACTTTTCTATTACTTGTCTAGTAGCAACAATATTTAAAGACCATGCCCTGAAGCCTAGTGGCATCATCCTGTTAAGTAGCATGATAATAGTAGAATGATTTTTAAATCTGAATATCCACCTATGTCTTCAAATCCCGCTGATTGTGCCATTTGATCAATGCCTGCATGCTCCAAAGCGCCATGCAACAAGCTGAAGAGAAGAGTAACACCTGGTCCTGGGGAATTTTGAAGATGTTAAAGGGAAAAGATGAGAAAAAGAAAAGTATACGGGTGAAACCTAAAGAGTCTGAGTCAGACAATAATGAAGGTTCATCGTAAGAGCCCACCAACCAAATCCAGTGCACAATAACTACACTAATATTAATTTAATCAGCTTTTACTAATATTTCATAACCAATAACCAGATTCTAAATACATAAACCATTTGTTTTCCTCCATTAACCATCACTCTGTTCTTGGTGTCACCCTTAAACTCAAGCATTTATGTAAGAAGAGTGTGAAGACATATTTTGCTTTCTCTAGAAACATGTGCGCGCGCACACACACACACACACACACACACACACACACACACTTCCTGACACTCAGTTGAAACTTTCCACACAAATTTAACATTTAATACAAATGGGTATACATAGTCACATATTAGATTTACTGGGACTTTTTTAACTTTAGCATCATATCTAAAAGCTAACAATCCCAATGCTGTATTTTATTATATAAAGATTATATAAAGTTTTATACTGACTGCTCTTAAAATATACTTTCATTTTTTAAATGAATTTGTCAGAAATAAACAACACAATTTGGAATTTCCTTTATCTAAATACAGCATTTAAAGTCTTTGTTTCTCTGTTCCACAATGTAGTATATTAAATTCTCTTTGGATAATGTATTTTACTATATTAATGTATTTTACTATATTAAAATTGTATATATAGTTTAAAATACTCAATGTCAAAACCAGAGCCTATATTTTCTTTTCCCATCCCTCACATAACACTTTAAATATAAATTTATATGTATATATGAATTTAAAATCTCTTAATCACATTTGCTTTTATAAAATATTCTCTTTTATATAATCATAATACATAAGTTTACATATATTAATTCTACATAGATTCCCTGATTTTAGGACACTGTATGAGACACTAAAACAATACTCAAAAAAAGACTTAAAATTTTGCTTGTTTGGGAGCCACTCTTGGTTATGCTCAGTACTTACTCCTGGTTCTGTGCTCAGGAATCACTCCTGGCAGGGCTCAGTGGACCATATAGGGTGCGGGGATCAAACCCCGGTAAGTCACAGGCAAGGCAAGCGTACCTGTATTAATGCTCAAGCCCCAGGACACTTAAGTTTTTTTGTTTTGCTTTTTGTTTGTTTTGGGGGTCATACCCAGCATTGCACAGGGGTTACTCCTGGCTCATGCACTCAGGAATTACTCCTGGCTGTGCTCAGGAGACCATATGGGATGCTGGGAATAGAACCCAGTCGGCCGCGCGCAAGGCAAACGCCCTACCTGCTGTGCTATCACTTCAGACCAACACTTAAAATTTTTAAATGAAGATAATGAGAAATCTCTTGATGTAGTGTTGCTCAAATGTCATCCTTGCTTTAAAAATAAAACAGAGTTATTTTGTCTGCCTCAATTACACATCACCAATTACCAGTTCTGATTTTGGGTGGTTTGAACTAATATATTCTTTCACACTTTTGTGTAACTGTGCACTGTTCTCCCAGTGATTTTTGTGTGTTATGTATGTGTCTGTGTTCAAAGTTTAAAAAGTAATGAAAGTAAAAGGTTTTTTCTTTTGCAACTAAGTTCCACTCAACCCTGATTTCAGATCAGTCTTATTAATAAGCCATCACTCTTATTTCAATAGATATTCCTCTCTTACTCACCGTTCTCCTGTATGTATATGTACATATACATAGTGTGCAAATGTCGTCACAGATTACTGTGACTCTCATTGGATTTTTGACTCTGCATATGAAGTTTGTGGCCAAATCTATCCACAATTGCTTCAAAACAGAGTTCATTTTATTTCCTCTGGTATGACAATATGCCCAAACTTCATGGAAAAAATGTGAAAAAAAAATGGCCTTAGACTATGGGGAAAATAAACCATGGGATATCTTGACTCTTCATTTTGGGGGCTAATATTGGAGCTCAAAAAAACCTTGGTAAATTTCAGATTACTGGATAGAAACTGTGACTTTGTGGAGAAACGGAGGATGAGAAAGGAATGACAGTCAGTGAATTTATTAATTTATCCATGCTTTTATTTTTTCGTGGCTCTCAAAAACACTCCATTTGTGTTTATATTAGACTGATTGTAGTTGTTCTTATTTTCTTTCCAGTTTTCCTTCTCCTCCAAAACAATTGGGTAAGTAATAAAATCTAATCGCATATTTTATATCTAACTCCTTATACTTAGGATAGTGGGAAAGCATGGTTATACTACTATATATTATAGTAGAAGTGTGAAATCACATAATCACCCTTGGGAGCAATTTCTTAAATTGTTAAGTATGCACTTAGCTTAGTATCCAACAATTAAACTTTAGTTATTAAAAGAAATTAAAGTGTATGTCTAAAAAGACCTCTGCAATGAGTAATTTTTAATTGTGGTCCCACTCAGCAATCCCCAGAGGCAGAGGTCACTCGAGCAGAGTACTGGAGCTTATAGTACTGGGCATTGAACTCAAGGCCTGGCATATGCCAAGCATGTCTACCACTTGAGTTATCTAGATGATAGCTTGCTTATTTTGTTCTTATCCTATGAAATGTTATCTAAGTGTGGGAAGAATGCAACTGTACATACATGTGTGCATGTTTATGTGTGCATTCGTAGGCATACATATGCACTAATTTAGTCGCTACTAGTAGATGATACATGCATAGATAGATGATGAATAATACACACATTCATATATATGTGAATATAGTTTTTTTGTTGTTGTTGATTTTTGGCTTTGGGGCCTACACTCTGTGGTGCTTAGGGATTCCTCCTGGCTCTTTGCTCAGGGATCACTCCTGGCATGGCTTAGGAGACCTTATGGAATGCTTGGGATCAAACCCAGGTAGGCCGCATTCAAAGCAAGCACCCTAACCACTGTACTATAAAGACATCTTAAAAGTAAGTCAAATCCTTGCCATTAGTAGAGAATATTCTGACTTCCTATAATATTCACCTCTTAAGATGGTCCTGTGATCCCACTCTGCATCACATGTCCAAGAAAACAAAAACATGAAGTCTCAGTGATACAGTATACTTATAGACACTGCAGCATGGCTTACAATAACCAAGATCTGAAAACAATCAAAATGTCCAATGACAAATGAGTTGATAAAGATATTGTGGTATAGAAAGATAACTAAAAACTACTCAGATATAAGAAAAGATTAAAATGTTGCCTTTTTCTATAACTTGGATGGAGCTAGAGGGGGTCATATTGAAATAAGTCAGAAGGATTAAAACAGAGGATGATCTCATTGATGTGGTATATGAAGAAATAGAGCTGTCCACTGTCCACTGTCCTCCTGTTGTTCATCAATTTGCTCGAGCGGGCCCAGTAACGTCTCCATTGTGAGACTTCTTGTTACTGTGTTTGGCATATCCAATACGTCATGGGTAGCTTGCCAGGCTTTGCCGTGCGGGCGAGATACTTTTGGTAGCTTACCGGGCTCTCTGAGAGGGCAAAGGAATCGAACTCGGGTTGGCCATGTTGGCTGCGTGCAAGGCAAACGCCCTACCCGCTATGCTATCGCTCCAGCCCAAAGAAATAGAACAAAGGAATAAAATTATCTAAATTATCTATGGAATTTTAACTGCAAAACTGAGGTTACCAAGTGGTAGGGAAAAGCAGGTGGAAAATGAGGACGTAAATGTTTAGAAGTGACTATAAGGACATCACTGGAGGGTCTTTGGCTCTTCAGTGGTGATGGAAATGCAGTAACTTTAGCACATCAAATGTATAAACAATAACACTCTTGTAATCATGTTACAAAAACTACATAGTTTTAAAACATTAGCAAGTATTTCAGCTCATCTCTTCAGTTTAATCTGCCATGCAGCATCTTAACAGGTATAAAAGGGAATCGTTACTTTTGTTTTTTTCTTTTGTTTACACTAATTTTTTTAAAATTAGTTTTTATTTTTTTATTTTAGACTTACAAATTTTTGTGCTTGGGTTTCAGTTATACAATGATCAAGTACCCATCCCTCCACCAGTGCCCATCCTCCACCACCACGGGTCCCAGCATCCCTCCCACCCCCCGTACCCCCATCCCACCCTGCCTCTGTGGCAGGGCATTCCCTTTTGTTCTCTCTCTCTCTCTCTCTCTCTCTCTCTCTCTCTCTCTCTCTCTCTCTTCTTTTGAGTCCTGTGGTTTTCAAGAGAAGCATTGAGTGGCAATCATGTTTGGTCTATAGTCTACTTTCAGAATGCTTCTCCCATCCTGGGAGGATCCTTCCAACATCCTTTATTTGGTGCTCCTTTCTCTATCTGAGCTTCCTTTTCCCCTAGCACATGTGGCTGGCCTCCAAGTCATGGAGCAAAATTCCTGGTACTAATCTCGGCCACTCCTGGGTGTTAGTCTCCGATTTTGTTGCTTTATGTTCCCCAGATGAATGATATTTTTCTGTGTCTATCCCATTCTTTCTGACTCATTTCGCTTAACATGATACTTTCCATGTAGTACCACTTGTATATAAATTTCATGACATCATCTTTTCTAACAGCTACATAGTACTCCATTCTGTAAATGTACCAGAGTTTCTTTAACCAGTCATCTGTTCTTGGGCACTCAGGTTTTTTCCAGATTCTGGCTATTGTAAAGAGTGCTGCAATGAACAGAACAAACAAGTGCAGATGTCACTTTGACTATACTTTTTTGCCTCTCTGGGATATATTCCCAGGAGTGGTATTGCTGGGTCAAATGGGAGATCAAATTCTAATTTTTTGAGAATCATCCATACTGTTTTCCAGAAGGGTTAGACCAGTTGGCATTCCCACCAGCAGTGAAGGAGGTCCCTTTCTCGCCACATCCGCGCCAGCACTGGTTGCTTTTCTTCTTTTGGATGTGGGCCAGTCTCTGTGGTGTGAAATGATATCTCATTGTTGTTTTGATCTGCATCTCCCTGATGATTAGTGATATAGAGCATTTTCTCATGTGCCTTTTTGCCATTCGGATTTCTTCTTTGCAAAAGTTTCTGTTTATTTCCTCGCCCCATTTTTTGGTGGGGTTGGGTGTTTTCTTCAAATAAGCCATGGGGAGCTTGCCAGGCTTTGCCCTGTGGGCGGGATACTCTCCGTAGCTTACCAGGGTCTCCAAGAGGGGCGGAGGAATCAAACCCGGGTCCACTGCATGCAAGGCAAATGCCCTACCCGCTGTGCTATCATTCAAGCTGTTTTTTCATTATAAGCAGCAATATTTAAGTGAACTGTACTTTAACATTTGCTTTTATGTCTTTTGATAGGAGATGAAGTCTATGATGACGTGGATGCCACTGACTTTCCTGCTCCTCCTTTAGAAGTGAGGTAACTCAAATGTTTTCATTACGAAGGGGTAACAAAAATGAGGTTCTTAAGGCCAGAGAAATAGTACAGTGGGAAGGGCGCTTGCCTTGCATGCTGCTGAGCCAAGTTCAATTCCCAGCCTCCCATAATTCTGAGCCTGCCAGAAGTGATCCCTGAGAACAAAGCCAGGAGTACTGATCCCTGAGCATTGCCAGGTGTAGACCCCAAACCAAAAGTAATTTTTTTAATGAAAGTGCTCAGGAAATTCAACTACAATAAAACCCTGATGGAGAGCAGGTCTGCTGACTGTGATCCTCTGCGCTCTCTTTGATCCCAGTTCTAACAATTCTTCGAGAACTGCAAATTGGCAGTCCAGTCCAGTGGCAATCCTTCCCTTCCTCCTCTCCTCCTCTTTCTCCTCTTCCTTCTCTTTTACTCCTCCTCTTTTTCTTTTTCCTTCTACTCCTCTCTCCTTCTTTCCACTCTTTTTCTCCTCTTTCCACTCCTCTTACTACTCTTCATCTTCCTCCTCCTCTCTTCATCTATTTCTCCTCCATCTTCTGCTCCTCCCCTCTTCCTGCTCCTGTCTCTCCTCTTGTTCCTTCCCATTCCTTACTCTGGCCCCTCCTCCCCCTCTTCTTGCTGCTCTTCCTCCTCTTTCTATTCCTCCTCCTGCTCCTTCTTTCTTCCTCCACCAACATCTTATTCCCTCCTCCTCATTTCCAGAAGTTTTGTCCCTTCTTCCCTGATAACACTCCAGCCTGTGACTCATCAGTATTCATCTATTCATTCACTGGGAGAATATTTAAGACTCTTGTTACTTTCTCATTACATTGAGTCATCTTCTCCCATTCATTTCAATTTTTCACTTTTTTTTACGAAAACCTTTTTACTTCTTAGTTTATATTCCAACTTTTACCAACCAGGTTCAAGGCTCTCCTTTCTCCATAAGAAGAGTGATTCCTTTTATACTTTAAACTGTTTTTTAACCATGGCTTTTAGTTATGTCTTTTCACAAAAGTATCAGATTCTTAAAGATTCCATTCAGTTTTTAAAGTCAGTTTAATGATATATATATATATATGACATTGGGTCAGCTGCATGTAAGAATGTATAATGACATTCTTCAGCTCACCTAAAGTTTCTATTTAATTTGGGCATAAATTGTAAGAAAATATAAAATCCATTCATACAAATGGAATACCTTTTAAACTTTTCTTTTTAAATAGAAAATAGCATTGTAGGATGCTTTTTATACTCTATAGTGTGTTTCTGGTTTATTCTGGGTATAAAAACCCAGAATAAACCAGAATATTTCTCTAGCATTTGCAAAAAAATTTTTTTAAAAGGTTAGTAAAAAAAAACTTGGACTTAATTTGTTAAAGGATAAAAGTAACATAAGTGGAAGAGACTAAGTGGCAACTTTGGAGCTATAATAGTAAAACTGCAAGTGTGAATTCTAAGTATTTTTAATCAGCATTGTTAAACTCATTTTACCAAGCATGAGACAGTATCAAGATAAAAGTAACTGAAGGGGAAATGTGCTTTCATATATGAAGATCAAGTCTTATAAGCAAAACAAACACAAAAGATGAAAGGAGAATCACTCCTTTTCAGTTCTCCAGGATAGGAAAATGAAATTTTCAGTAATATAATATAAGTTTAAATGTTCCTTACCCTCTCACCAGACCTCAACAAAGACCAGTCACTTTTATTTCTGACATTTAGTTTTTGGGTTTTGTCCTGTGGCAGTGCTCAGAGTTTACTGCTGGCTCTGCACTCAGAGATTAGTCCTGGTTGAACCTGGGTTGGAGACATGCAAGGCAAGAGTCCTACCCACTGGACTATCTCTTCAGCTCCCTATAATATCTAAACCTAGTGGTTGGTTCTCAAACTTTGTTGTAAGTTAATGTCATGTGGGTAGACTTTTAAATATATATTTTAAAGCCTGGACCCAACTAAATATAATTAATTAGAAATTTATTTATTCAACTTAATTAGAATTTTGGGGAATTGGGCAAAGGCATTGTATTTTGTTGTTGTTGTTGTTTTGTTTTTGGGTCACGCCCAGCAATGCACAGGCATAACTCCTGGCTCATGCACTCAGGAATCACTCCTGGCAGTGCTCAGGGGACCATATGGGATGCTGAGAATCGAACCTGGGTCAGCCACGTGCAAGGCAAATGCCCTACCCGCTGTGCTATCGCTCCAGTCCCAGGGCATAGAATTTTTTAAATGACTTCCACATGACTCTAAATGTGGATATTTTGGACAATTACTTACCTATGCTCCTGATTTCCTATAATTGTCTTTACTCAATTGGTATACATGGTATTCGTGCCTAGATTTTATGTCATTTTGAATATTAAATACATTTACTAATCAGATTTTTTTCTGTCTCTCTCATACATACACATACACATCAACATAAACACTGTAGCACTGTAGCACTGTCCTCCCGTTGTTCATCGATTTGTTTGAGTGGGCCCAGTAACGTCTCCATTGTGAGACTTGTTACTGTGTTTGGCATATCGAATACGTCATAGGTAGCTTGCCATGCAGGAGATATACTCTCGGTAGCTTGCCAGGCTCTCCAAGAAGGGCGGAGGAATCGAACCCAGCTCGACCAGGCCAGCAACTTGAAAGGCCCTACCACTGTGCTATCGCTCCAGCCCAACATAAACACACAATGGGTAATTGATAAAGTGATTAAGAAAATTCCTTTTCTAAGATCTAAAGAATTTTTCCTAAAATTTTATCATTAACCTACATTTTCTGCTTCTGATCTTGCTTCCATTTGAGTAGTTTTGAAAATATTAATATATATCTCAGCTTTATAAACTATAAAAATCAAGTTTTTGAAATACTTTCTTTTAAAAAGCATTGTTTACAACATTAATTAAGTCACTTAGTTATGTAAGAAGTTTTGAAAAAGATAGGGGACTCATCAAGTATAGACTGAAACATGGGCCTGTACACCAGGTTGGACGTGGATCTTTAATGATCCCCTATATCCCATATGGTCTCCTAGGCCCAGCCAGAAGTGATCCCAAGCTCAGAGCCAGTAGTAAGCCCGGAGCACACCTGGGTGTGGCCCCCAAACCAAAAATTTTAAAAGTTGACTGAATCACAAGAAATTGCTCTTAAGTATCCTTGTTTGCATAGTTCAACATAATGTCTTATTTAGATTTCTTCCAAATCTTATATTCCTTCTGTTTTTGTTGTTGTAGTTGTTATTGGATATGTATATATATGTGTGTATGTATATATATATATATATTTAATTTATTTATTCCTTCATGCCCCACTTTATTTAAACACCATGGTTTACAAAGTTGTTCATGATGATTTGTTACAGGCATTCAATATTTCAACATCAACCCCATGACCACTGTCACCTTCCCTTCACCATTGTCATTATTTTCTCAACGACCCCTCAAGCCTACCCCCTTAGCAGGCTGACAATAATTTATTTTATATTGCTTGTTACCCCTAAATGGCTACCGGAATGATCACAAAATATTTCCATGAAAGAAAATTTCCATGAAAGAAAAGTTGTTGAATCTCACCATGGGGACATTATGTCCTTGTCTGAGAGTTTAAGCTGTTGCAGCATGTTAACCTTCTGTGTTAATGTTTTTGTTAGTAGAAATCGGTTGGTTTCCACGTTACCTCTCATCCATCTACTAATGGGATATCAGTGTGCTAGATATTGGAGATATCACTCCAGAAAATCCAGAATTCTCAACTGAGCAGACCTGCTAGCATTTAATTTTTAACTCTAAGAAGGCCTGGAGTTTTTGGTCATAAGGACCCATGTACCTGACGTTTTCAGCAGATTAGTGTCTCAGGAGGCCTAGTCCTAATGTGACAGAGTCTGGCCAGAGGCACAGTGGTGGTTTTGTAGTGCAAGAAAGGCTCCCAGGGCCTTGGGCAGTAGCTGAGTTCCTGGACATATCTTATGCTTGTAAAGACTCTCTTCTGCTTTGTGAAATGGTGTAATTTATAACAGTTAATGCATTTTATACATTCTAAGAAAATAATGAATAAAAGATAAAGCAAAGATGTAATATTGTGAATTAAAGTTTACTATGTATTACCGTTTTTATATTTTTGAAAGAAAACATTATATGTTCTTCCTTCCTAGTCAAGAAGTCAAAGCTAAGACACAAGAAAAGGACCTTAAGAAGTTAAGAAAGCAAGAAAAAGAAGAAAAGGAATTCAGGAAAAAATTTAAAGTATGTCATATTTAATAACATACAAAATTCAAAGCACAGATGAAAATATGGATTTCAAATATGTTCATGTCTAACACCAAAATGAACAATATATAAGTGAAATTATTATAGTCATCTATATAAATCCCTGATTTTCTACAAAATTTATTTTAAACAAAAATTTATTCTTATATCAACTTAGACAACTATCACAAACACTGTGAAAACTAGATAACACACGGTTAAAGTGCTTGACTAGCACACAGCTGATCTCGGTTCAATCCCTGGTACTTATATATGCTCCCCTGAATCCCACCAGGCGTAATCCCTGAGCACAAATCCAGGAGTAAGCCCTATGCATCATTAAGTGTGGCTCCACACTCAGTAGAATGAATAAAAGTGTGATATTTATTCCTGTTCCTATTGTTCTTCCTATTATTATTATTATTGGGCTGCAACGATAGCACAGAGGGTAGGGCCTTGCATGCGGCCAACCCAGGTTCGATTCCTCCACTCCTCTCAGAGACTCCAGCAAGCCACCCAGAGTATCCTGCCCACAGTGCAAAACCTGGTGTATTCGATATGCCAAAAACAGTAACAACAAGTCTCACAACGGAGACGTTACTGGTGCCCGCTTGAGCAAATTGATGAGCAATGGGAGGAAAGTGCTACAGTGCTATTATTATTATTATTATTATTATTATTCCTATTATTAACAGTATTGTAAAGGATAATTTTTAAATGTGATATATACTGTATATTATTTCAATGGAATATTACTAAACTTCAGAAAATAAGTTTCTTCTTCTAGAGTCTCCATAGATAAACTTAGAGTCCATTATAAGATGGAAAAAAGTACTGAAAATCACTTATATGTGGGATCTAAGAAAACCCAAAATCACAGAAACAGAGTGGAATGGTCTGAAGGGTGGAGGGGTGGAGACATGGATGGAAATAAGGCATGTGCTAACGGATACATACCTTTAGGTATAATTAGTAAGTTGGGGGAATACTGTGTACAACAGTGATTATTGTTAGCATATATGTGATGGTTGCTAAAAGATTATATCTTAGTTGTTTTCATCACAAAAAAGAAATGGTATTTTTGGTAAATTAATAGAACTATTAGCTGGCAAAATAATGCTTATGATTTTATAATATTTAATATATCAAATTAACACATATATATTCAGCTTAAAATTATTTTTTTAATTTTAAAGTTAAATTACTTTCATAGGGTTATGAGAAAATATTCCCCAAAATACATTTTTTAATGGCTTTGTCAATATGTTTTGAAAATTAGGACTATTTAGTGTAAACTTTCTTCATATAGAAATTACTAAAGTAATGGTATTTGTTTAGTAATAGTTATCAATCTATAATGTATATGTTTTTCTGTATGTTCACAGTATGATGGTGAAATTCGGGTCCTCTATTCAACCAGAGTTGCCTCTTCCTTTACATCTAAAAAATGGGGGAATAGAGATCTACAGGTAAAGCCTGGGGAAGCTCTGGAAGTTATACAAAGTACAGACGATACAAAAGTTCTCTGCAGGAATGAAGATGGAAAATGTAAGTCACTGTTTATAATATTAAATACACTCACTATCGTTTATTATTCACATTCAATACAGTAGAGTTCTTGTTTTCAAAGAGAGGGACAGACACAGAATGATCTTTCTCATGTGTGGCACATAAAGAAACATAGTAGGGAAAAACAAATGCCCAAAGGCAACAGGACGTGAGAGCTGGTTTGCAGGGGGAAACTCCTCTTGGGGAAGAGAAGAAAAGGGAGTGGAATAGAATGGCGACGGTGGGGGACGGACACACTGGGACAATGATGGAGTGAAGCTGGCACTGTGGTGAAGGGTGTGATACTGGAATGATTTATCCAAGAAGTCCTACTATTAACAAAATTTGTAAACCACAGTGCCTATAATAAAATACAATCTAAACAATGAAAGAGAGAGAGAGTGAGTGAGTGAGAGAATCTTGTCCTTTTTGACTTTTTTCAGTTACTAAAGGCAACAGTTGGAAATACTTTTGTCCAATTTCTAAAGGATGCCTATTTTATTGAAAACCGAGAGAACAGTTACATAAATTACATTGTCTGGCCAGAGCAATAGCATAGTGATAGGGCATTTGCCTTGCACGTGGCCAACCTGGGTTTGATTCCTCCACCCCTCTTAGAGAGCCCGGCAAGCTACCAAGAGTATTCAAGCTGCATGGCAAAGCCTGGCAAGCTACCCATGACGTATTCAATATTCCAAAAACAGTAACAAGTCTCACAATGGAGATGTTACTGGTGCCTGCTCGAGAAAATCGATGAGCAATGGAAGGACAGTGCTTCAGTGCTACATGACTGTCCATATCAACCCATTGGGCATGAAAAGCATGAACTCCGAGTCAAATTTCAATGACAAGAACGTGACTCAGGGGTTTAAAACTGAAATTATTTTTTAAAAATAAAGCATGATGAGTTAATGGTGGAAATAAGGACCTAAAGTTATCCTGGGGGAGGTGCAATTGAGTGGAATGTGGATGTGGAAGTAGTTTAGTAACAGAGATTCAACATTTATGGATCAGAGAGATATTTCAAGGAATAAAACACCTGCCAACCATTTGAAAACCCAGCACCACATGCATATGGTCCCCTGAGCACTGCCAGGAGTGGCCTCTTAACACTGCCAGGTGCAGCTCAAAAAAAAAAAAACAACAAAGACTCAAAGCCTTACTGGAGAAAATATATGCACGGTGTTCCAGAAATAAAGAAACCCCCAATTCAGACTCGCAATTTTGAGGATATTCCCTAAGAAATAGCTTTAATTGAAGAAAAATATGCATTAAAATGTTCAAAATTTTCACTAATAATTTAATATGTTATAAAATATATCAAATTAAAGTTTTGACATGATTCTTTGACATGATACGAGCATAAGGGAATTCTCATGACATAATAGAAAGATAAATAAGAAGAAAATTTGTGAGAATTCACGGTTATGTAGAAACTATAACAGGGACGTGGCAAGGCAGAAAAATGGAATGGAGAGAAGAAAGGTTGAAGTAGATTGTTAATAATAACCAAATATGGTGATGCATCTAAAATACTATGTTTTCTTTCCTCTGCTTTGAAAAATTTCTCTACATTTTTCAGAACAGATAACTGTCCTAGTATTTTTTTTATGTGGTTCTTCCTTCCAGCATAAGTCTCAGGCACATCTTGCCCCAGATGTGTTCTTAGAAACCTGAGATAATTTCTTCTGTTTTAAAAATCCACTTTCAGTAATGTTATCCAAGTATTATGAGACAACCCCAACTCTGTGCTCAGGAGTCACCCCGGAAGTGCTACAGATCCGTGTGGTACTGGAGTCTTCATACACTCAGTCCTTTGAGCTATATCTAGGATCTGGCTGCCAAATATTATAACTAAAATCACAAAATCATTAGGCAACTCACCAACCTTTTAAGATTATGCCTCTCAGTTACCAAATATTTCCCATCTGCAACTGACCCTCCCAAAATGCGAGCTCCTTATTTTTCATTCCTTGAACAAATCATGCTATTTATTCATCTTTTTACTTTATTCTATAAAATAGGGAATATCCAAAATTGTCTATGAAAACCAATCTCATTTGCCATCTAAAGTTAAAATCATATTTATTCTGGGCTTCCTATACCTGGTCACAATTAAGTGCTGCCCTGCCCCACCATACTATTTTTGTGCATAAAGGTTCTTACTATTTTATCAGTCTATTATTCTTGCTTGATGCTGAGCTTGAGAGTAATAGCTTCAGTAAAATATTCTCAACATCATGTCGCCAGCACATTCTACAATGTCTAGCACCTTGTTTGGTATTTGCTGAGTTCAGTGTAAAAAATTGTAGATTGCAAGTGAGTAACAGGTGAAAGTTAATCACTTTCAAGACACTTTCACAAAGACATTTGCAGAAAGATGCCTGTTGAATAGTTAAACTTGTTAGAACAGCTTCTCTTCCCTTAGTTAGTCACCCTGGATCATGTGTTGTGTATTGTTTGGAAGTCTCTATATCTTTCAGTACCTTTGCCCTGCATCTTTTGATTAGCTGTAAAGACATTTGTAATCTAAAACTGTGGAGACTGTACCATACTCTCAATTCTTTTCTAATTCATCGAAGAAAAGAAAACATAGTTTTGATACACCAAATTTGTAAAGATAGAAATTAATGGTTGAAGCATTAATCATAATGACTTCTCATTGTGAAGGCAATATCATATCTGATCAATTCTTACCCACTAACTTGTAATAATCAATTTGTAGGTGTTGAGATCTTAAGTATATGTATCTGGAACATTCCTAAAGAGTTTCTCACCAATATTTTTACATGTTCCACAAATTCATAAATTTTAGGTTTCCCACCTTATGTCACTGGAGGAAAAGGTTGTGCCTAAATAAGTATAGAATCAGACATGGTCTTGGTGCTTTTTGTAGCCAAAATATTCTATTTCTTCTGAGTGTCAAAGAAAGGGGAATATAAGGAATGTTTTGAATTTAGATTTTTCCAGTCAATTATTTCCTAAGCAATTTTGTTGCCAATTTTAAAACAATACTGACTTAACTGAAGATGTTTTAATTATTATTATTCACAGCAAATGAAAGAAAAGGAAATAATAAAAGGTGTCATTTTAATCAAATTTTTGAAAACATTGCAATCAAAGTAGTTTTTATTTTTCCATAAAAAATTTTTTTGTTTGCTCGGTAATTTTCTGTTTACAGCACCCTTCTGAAAGGTGAGTCATTTATCCCAGGACACATCCGCACTGTGGCACACAAACATTTTGAGAAGAAATTTACTGGCACATATGGGGCAGTGGGCGTTACTTTTATAATCAACTCTACCCTGCCACATATTTCAAAACATTTGTTTCAAGTCACTGTGTTCTGCTCTGTGAAAGTGAGAATTTAAAAAATTAGCTTCATATTAAGTGTAAGAATTCCTTGAATACCAGCACCCACACCATGACAAGGTAACTGAACATGGAAGTCATTCCACATGGTACACAACCAAGCTTATATTTTATTTATTTAACTTTGTGTGTGGTTCATTAATATTTCCTCTGATAGACACACATAGAACATGTGAGCAAAGAGAGGATTTTTTATGAAAACTATTATTTCCAGGAATAATAAAAGAGAGATTATATAAAAATTCATGGTAAGTCACTTGTTTTGACATTGTCATGAATCATACTTTTTAGAAGATAACAATTTTAGCAAAGGTTTTTCTTTAATATAATAGGTATTGAGACTATATAGTGAGCAAAGGCTTTTTAAGGTACTAGACAGCAAAAACCTATTCTGTATAAAAATTCATTCTGTCTGTAGCACTGCCCTCCCATTGTTCATCAGTTTGCTCAAGCAGGCACCAGTAACATCGCCATTGTGAGACTTGTTGCTACTGTTTTTGGTATACCAAATACGATTCGGGAAGCTTGCCAGGCTCTGCCTGCCGGCAGAATATTCTCCATAGCTTGCTGGGTTCTTTGATAGAGATGGAGGAATTGAACCCGGGTCAGCTGCGTGCAAGAAAAACGCCCTTCCCACTGTGCTGTCGCTCCAGCCCGATATTTCTACAAGGTTAAAAATTCATTAACCTTGTAAAAATATTATATAATAGTGATTTTATAGCTATGAAACTGAAAATAGCCATATCATTTCAGGAATGCAGTATAGTAGCAGCACACTCCATCTCAATGATAGAGTTGTCCTCAATAGTATTTACAACCATTGATATTTACATATTTCACACACAGCAACAGGAACAACAGATCACTTAGCAAAAGAGAAGCTTGTCTTTAGGACTCTGGAACAGGCAAGCTATCAGAAGTGTAGAAGGGGTTCAGAACCCAGCAGAATATTTTACAAAGTTAATTAAACTGTACATCATGTATTATTAACTTTGATCATGCCTGCTTTCATGCTATTGATAATATTTTATCTGATCTATACAGTTTTAACCTGTAAGTTTTAAAGATGACCTAAAACACAGGAAAGAGAAAAGCTTTAATTTTTGAAAACAGTGATTGTATTAATCACCTCAATTCTGAACTTCATAAAAACAGAACCACGAATTTTAACTAATAAAAAGTTCACTCATGGAAAAAACGTTTGAAGAAACCCTAATCCACTTAGCCAGGGAATCACTAAAATCCCTAGTTGTATTCTTCTATAATGTGTTTGTCCAATGAAAGTGAAAATGCAAGTGTAAACACTGGCAGAAAGCAAAACGGTAGTGGAAGATATGCCACGTGTAATATTTCAAATATGGTAATATTTGAAAGATTAAGTCTTAATTTGGAGATACCTAGAATAACTATTAGTGACCTAGTTTTGTAATCAAAGAAACTGTGTTTAATGAATTCTTCTTGGAAGTGGGATCATATGGGTAATACACAAAGAAGTAGATTCAAAAATTGAGACTGTTGTGTTAAGTTCTGCAGTTGCTCTGAGAAGAAATTTTTTTTAATTTATCAAGAAAGGAGCAAAGATTATCAATTGAGTGGGAAAAAAGGAGGGATGAATATAAATAAGAAAAATGATTTGTATTTTCAGATGAATAGAATTACTCGAGATATTATATTATTCGATTATATTTAATGTCATCAAAGAAGTAGTAAATATTTTCAAGTTTGTTCTCATAATAATTTATTTTCTTTCTTTAACAGATGGTTATGTCCTTCGTAGTTACTTGGTGGACAAGTAAGTTCATTTCTTCTACTGTTTCACTTGTAGAAATTGGGGCTAGAGCGATAGTACAGTGGGTAAGGCATTCGCCTTGCATGCAGCCAACCCGGGTTGATCTCTGACATCTCATATGGTCCTCCAAACCTGCCAGGTGTGATCCCTAAGCACAGAGCCAGAAATAAACCCTGAATTGGGTGTGGACCAAATATGAAACAAACAGACAAAATTTTATCTTTTTTTAAGGCTGCATTGCTAATAATTTTTAAGACTTATAATCTATGGTTCTATTTTAAAAACAGTCACACTCATGTCAGTATGGTAGAAGGAACAATTAAAAAGTTGGGTATTTTTTTTATAAAATTGTATTTAAAAATTACTTAGAAGAATGTTAAGAGAGAGAGAGAGAGAGAGAGAGAGAGAGAGAGAGAGAGAGAGAGAGAGAGAGAGAGAGAGAGAATGTCATCTTCTCTAGAAGGGGAAAAGCCGAGTGCACATCTCAGGGCAAGATGCAGGTCAGTCTCCAGGGTGGAGAATGAGCCCGAAGTTAAGATTTCAATTTTGTATCTTAAGTCAACAAAAAGAACTTCTCATTCATTATTATACAGTTCAGAATTTTATACAGTCATTTAACACAGACAGGCATTGCAAACACCAGAGACAGACAAGGCAAAGCCACCAACACTTTTATTAAAACTCTCATTTCACTTGCTAAGAATACAGTTGTTTGAATTGATCCGAAAGCAATAGTATCCACGCAGTAGATACTACCATCACCCATGCGCAGTTTGTAGCTTGGCCCCTAATTGAGGATTTCTCTTTACTCACACCAGGAATAGTAGAGTATTAAGTTGCGTTTTTGGAAGCATGCCAGTAAAAAGAGAGTTATCAATGATTCTTCTATTCCTATGAATAAGACGTTGTCACAGCCTAGTACTGGTGTACTATTGAGTGCAGCAAAGAAGTAATAACATTCTGTCCCAAGTAAACCAGAGCAGGAAATGAACCCCATTACCAGGGTAGGGTTTATATACCAAATACACAGATTCACACAGAACAGCATAATTAAAAAAAAAATCAAGGCAGATTCACAAACAGTATCCATGAACAGCCTGACATTGGTCTAAAAGAGACAAATCAGTGCTCCCTCAGCAAGCTAGTGAAGTGTCCAAATGATAATAATACCTTTGTTTTCCTCAGAACCTTAGTCCTGGAGTTCAGCATGAGACTTTCCAATAGGTTTTGTTCTACAACCAGTGCAAATTTCAAGAAAAGAGTGTATGCAAATGTTAGGATAACTTTACTAGGAGCTTTCAAGAGATTAAAGAAGCATAGTTTTGCAATTATGGATCTACCACCTATTGAAGCGAATGCTTAAAAAATTTCAGTGAGTGATTGATAGGGGGGAGAAAGAATCTATCATCAGATTTCCATTAGCCAGACTCTCAGTCTCAGAAAGGATCCAAACAGAAGACATAGAGAACTCACAGCATCTGCCACACTTGGCAGCAATTTGAAGAGCCTGCTGCTGTTTCCATGATTAAAGCACAGAGCATCCCAGGAACCAAGAAGGGTCTGGTCTATGTGACAAGGCCCTGTGCTTCTGAATTTTGTAACTGTATCCTGCTCTTCAAGGCTCTGCTAATATTTATAATACTTTCTATTTTAATTACCTGTCTGTCATCTACTCCACCATTAGCTTATCAACTGAATCAAAGGCTTCTGCCTCCTGCTCTGTGTGTAAAGTAGAATGTTTCATACACACCGGGGGCCAGATGAAATCCTAAATGTGTAAAAGTAGTCAGCACTATGATTATAGGCACTGCCTGTAGCCATAAATGCTTTTAGCATCATTTAACATAAAGAAACACTGTGTTAGCCGGAACGTGGTTACTTCTTTTGTAATAAATTTTATGATTCATGTATATACATTATAATTAGAGCTATTTGAAAATGATACACTCATTTCCTCTGCTAGATATTGTTATGTTTCATTCAACACTGAGTGTTCAAATGAACGTATAAATCTGATACAAACAGACATCAAGACTTTCTGGCAGTTTAGGATTAGGGTCCACAGTGAAGCATTATGCCCCAGAGGTTCAGTTTTTTTTATTTCAACAAGAACTTAGCAAGCTGAGCTGTGTTCTAGATTGGGTCTAAAGATAAATAAGACACTGTTTGAGATCTTGAGACGTGTTTCCATTATTCTTGGTACAGAAGAAGTTGTTCAGTTTTATTTTTAGAGTGAAACAGAGACAGACTAAGACAATAAAAAAAGATGCAGATGAATATCAAATTTCTTCTTCTTTATAAATACATAACATGTGATTTTTACCCTTAACTACCTAAATTGTTATATAAAATAATAACATAATTTTACATAACCTTTTCAAAATATTGGCTTCATGTTAAGGTATTTTTCTTTAAAATAAAAAGGGTTTTCTTTATTTTCAGTGATGGAGAGATCTACGATGATATTGCTGATGGTAAGTCTTCTATGGCATTCACCATACGAATTTGGCATTCACCGTGAAAAGACAGTGGTGGTGGAATCACTGTTCTTAGAAATACAAAATGAGGCTGAACCTATCGTACGGGGGCAAGATGCTTGCCTTACAGGAGGTCGACCCAGGTTTGATCTTCTGCACCCTATGTGGTCCCCCTGAACCCCACCAGGTGTGACCCTTGAGCAGAGAGCCAGGAGTAAGCCTCGAGCACTGCCAGGTATTGCCCAGAAACAAATAAAAACAAAAAAAAAACCAGTATACCAAAATATCTTAATGAAATAATGTGAGTCTTTTAATTTGTGGTGAATTTTGCATCATTTGAGAAAATCAGAAATAGTTTACACCCTATATTTTTACACATGATGGGAAATGAGAAAAGAATCTCTTGAAATTTTCTTGAAATAGTGGATTTTTTATTATATCATGAATCTTAATAAGAATTGCTTTGATCACAAATAATATGTATACTTGGACAAATAACAGGCACTTTTCATTTTCAATCATAAAAACTAATATTCTCTAAATATTGTATTATCTCTTTTAATTTATTTTTGATTTATTATTTTGCAATATTATGGAATTTGAGGTGTTTAGCTTCTCATTCTCTATGGATAGTTCCCACCACTTCGACCACCAAAATTTTAATGTGCTTCCCCACATCCAAAAGACTCCTCTTTTATTCCTCCCACCCACCTCCTGCTTCCCTTTGGGGACCACCACAGTTTTCATGAGTCCAGAAATTGTAGGGGTTTTTTAAATCCATATTCTACACATTAGAGAAACCATTCAATAATTTTCCTTCACTTCCTTACTTCACTTAGCACAAACACTTTAAGAATCATCCATTTGTCCCAAAAGGCACAATTTTCTCTCTTTTCCCCCAGTAGTTGAGCATTATTCCTGAGTATAAATACCATAGCTGCTATATCTAGTCATTTTTAAATGGGCATTTAGATTGAGTCCATGTTTTGGCTATTGTGAACAATGCTGCTATAAATATGAGGTGAAATGTCCTTTCAAATTAGTGCTTTTACATAACACCATATGTTTCTAAGCTATAATCTAAAAAAAAAGTAACCTAAGCATGGGGGATGTATGTAGCTCAGCCATAGAGCCCTTGCTGAGCATGTATATAGTCCTAGGTTCAATTTCTGACACTGCAAAAGAGGAAAGGGGAAAAAAAAACTAACCCTAGCTGAAGTACAGCATGGAAGTCTGCACGTTGCCACTTAGACTCCTTTTAAATATATGGTTCTTGCTGACATTTAATATTTCAACATCATTAAAATGAATACAAAGAAATACATGTAATAAGTCACCAGGTAAAATGAAATAATGTTGAGTTTTACCTGACAGTGAATAAATCTTTTCCATAAACTTTGTTGTAATTTATATTTAACAGTGAAAATTAAATAAATGACATCCTGTTTAACTGATTTTTTTTCATCAAGCAAGCCAGTTCTACCATTCAAATCCCAATACACTCTGTTATAAATCACTCACCTATCCAACCATATAACACCTTGAGAATATTTGTTTTTCTTTAAATATGTTTAAGTTTGTATTTTTTTTCACTTTCAGGTTGCATCTATGACAATGACTAGCTATCAGCTTTGATTATTCTGCTATGTTCATTTAATGTCAATATGATGTCCAAATTTTAATTGACAACTGTCACTGTCACTGTCCTCGCATTGTTCATCGATTTGCTCGAGCAGACCCAGTAACATCTCCATTGACAACATAGAAATAAATATACAAAACTACTCATTACCATAAATTACAAAAATTTATTATCTTCATCAAATTTTAAAAATTTTCAAGTTTAAAACACTTCCAAATTTTTAGAAGATGGTCTCTTCCTTAATGAACATCTCAAGAACTGCATCAGTGAGTATAAGAATTATTTAATATCCCATTTTGGTTTCACCCACAATTAAGAAGGTGCTTCTTTTAGATCATCAATAAATAATTCCAGCTTTCTAAAAAAATTCATTTAAGAAGAAATAGAAGAAGAAGAAGAAGAAGAAGAAGAAGAAGAAGAAGAAGAAGAAGAAGAAGAAGAAGAAAGAAATTTTAATACAATTCCCCCAAAGCTGTTTTTGCACTTCTGATTATGATAGTATTATATTATCTATCTAATTATCTCTGTTCAAAAAAGCAGAAATATCTTCTCTTCTGTTGGTGGACTAAATATTTTTGAAAATTATTGTAGTAGCAGAGCATTTTTATAAAGTTTTACCCTATAAATATGTGAATTTGTGAATATGTGAGTATGTATTTGATATGAAAGCATACATTTATTAACACCTGAAATTAAAACTGTAGGGGTCATTTTGAAGATTCATTTTGTGAATTCTTACTAACAGTTTAAATCCGTACTCTGCTTAAAGTCCTATTGTAATTAGATTAGATACCAAGGAAGACAATCTTAAAATTGTGAAGAATATAGCATATTCTTGGAAATTAACTAGTCTTTTGCTGCACTCTCTTTACTATGAAGACTCTTAAGTACTTGTTTTTATTTTTAATTAATGCTAAACAGCTTTTTATTTTTTGCTACTTTATTAGGTAGTTGGCCAGTAGCAGGAATAAAAAATTTAAAACCCCTAATATTGGAGTTTCTTAAAACCCCTCACATATTGATCTATATCCACTCTCTATTAATACATACTCATTCCTAAAACAACCCCCAAAATGAAATCTGAAACATTGGATTCCAAATGCTAAAAACACTTAAACACCATAATACAAAATTCAGAACTGCATTCACCCAAGAAAATGCCATAGTAGACAACTTTTTCACACTTTCAAAATAACACTGGTTTTGAAACCAGTGAACCATGATGTGACATTTGAGTAAATCACTTACCCTTTCAGTTTTTTCATTTATAAATTATGAGATTAAACTGTTTTTCACTGCCAATTATCTACACTTCTGTAATTCTTTCCTATTCTAGTCCCATGTGTCAGAAATTTCAAAATTTTCTAATAAGTAATGATTATGCATTGGTCATGTTTTAATATTGCTATGACCTATTTAAGTTTCTGAAGAATAAATCCCACTGAATTTTTTAAAAGTTCAAATAATTGTAAAGAAACTCAAATTTTTCACATGTGAAAAGCAAAATTTCTATGAGGTAGGTGTGTGAAAATTTGGAAAGATCATCAATTTCCGCTGTTCAATAATTTATAGATTCAAGGATTCTGAGACCCCAGATCAAAAGTCACTAATCTTAAACTATTAATCTTTAATTATGAAATATGTCGATGTCAGATTTCTGATAGGGTAAGCCAATATGTACTCATATGATGAATCTACATAATATTCCATTAAATGATGCTGTTCAGAGTGGTTAAAAATTGCCAATATATTTAACATACTGACAATTTATTTCCAACAATTTGTTAAATTGAGAATGGCATAAAGCTAATACAATGTCAGTCTTTTATAGTCCAAATTAAATCAAGAGAATATTTTGAAATTAGGGTTTATCACCAAGAAAGGGGTACACAAATGCGTATGAAATATTTATGTAGTAATCATCCTAAAATAAAGATGTATTTGAGGCATTGACTCTAATATACAAATGTTATTTTTGTCACATTTTTATCTATGAAATTGTGTCCTGTGAAAAGATGAGAAATAAATGATGCCATCAGCAATTGGCTTTGCCTCCTTTCTTTTCAAAAAAAATTGAGACCATCAGTCTTTCTCATAATTTGGTCTTACAAAAGTATCTTCCTCTGAACCATCCTTACCTCCCTCACAGCCTCAAGGGATGTGTCATGTCATGTTCAAAAGCCAACTGTTCCAGCAGTGTCCCTGATATTTTGCCGTCTGTTTTCTGCTAAAAATTGAGGTAGTTTACGTTCAGCTTCATAAAACATTCATCCTTAAGCTACATCCAAACACTATCCCTCCAAGCAGCATACCAGTTCCTCCGATATAAGTCATAATCTATTATCTGACTTCTGTCTGCCCTCTTTAGAAACTTCTTCTGAAATTGTTTTCTCTCCTATCCTCCCTTCTCCTTAAATCTTACTCTTCCTTTCCTCTCCTTTCCTTTCCTCCTTCTAACTCTTCTTTCATTCACTTCCCTCCACTCTTTTCCCTCCCTCTTTCCCTCTCTTTCTCACACATTCACTTACTGTCTTCCCAATTTCTCTCTTTCACCCCTTCCCTTGTTTCTAATCTTTAACTTCTCTTTTTGTGAAGATTCCCTTCTCTGCACTTACAAGCATAATGAAGTCTTCACATTTTTCCATTAAGAAATATAAAATATTGCTTTGCATTAAAAAACATGAAATACCCAAATACCTAACTATAGTCCTTTTCTATTTACCTTTTATTACCTCATTACTCATTAAAAGTGGGGCAGTCTCAAAAGGAGAGAGAGAACACAGGGGATTGCCCTGCCACAGAGACAGGGGGGATGGGGGGATGGGGGTGGGAGGGATATTATCCATGGTGGTGGAAAATGGGCACTGGTGGAGGGATGGGTATCTGATCATTGTATAATTGAAACCAAAGCACAAAAAATTGTAAATCTACAACTGTACCTCATGGTGTTTCACTAATAAAAAAAAATTTAAAAAAAAAAGTGGGGCAGTCTGAGAATATGTCTCATATAGACCCGAACTATGGGAAGCTTAATTGATCCAAGACTCAACTTCTGGCTGAAGTCCATCACTACGTTTGTATTGGTGCCATGACTTCAACTAATGCTTCCAAGTTAATGGCTGAGCATGGCTGGACCCTTCCTGGAAGATAATAGAACAAAGTGCTATAAGCCTTTGTTTAAGGACTCCCCTATAGCCAGACTAAAATTTCCTCACCCTGCCTAGCACTCTGACACACTTCTACCTCACCATCCTCATTCACTGCTGTCAGACTTGACTGATGGCTCCTCCTGTCTTCCCTGCCTCCTTCCCATTTCCTCTTATCAAATGTTTTTGCCACCCAAAGGTGTTATATATATATATATATATATATATATATATATATAATGATGTAATTTGTATCTGCTTTTCAGAGGTTCAGGACAGAGTACATCTGGAGAGTTTGTTTGTATGTATGAATGTCCATATTCCTGCTCAGATCAATTGAATCAGAATCTTAGGGGAAGAACTTCTGATTCTGCTTTCTATTAACACTAATGCACAATTAATATTTAGTCACTAGACATTTTCATGCTACCCTTAAGAATTATCTTCCTTGTTCCACAATTGGGAGCCTGTCTCATGACCTGGGGGAGAAGGCAGCTGGGACGGAGAAGGGATCGTTAAGTTAGTGATGGTTGGAGAGATTGCTCGGGATGGGAGATGTGTGCTGAAAGTAGATAAAAGACCAAAGAAGTATCTGTATTACAAACCCAATAAAAAAAAAAAAGGTAGATGATAATGCCCAAAGAAAATGTCCAAAAGTAAAGAGAGAATAAGAAGGAAATTGTCTGCCATAGAGGCAGGGGGTGGGGCAAGGTGGGGGTGGCAGGAGGGATACTGGGAACATCACTGTATCACTGCCATCCCGCTATTCATCGATTTGCTTGAGCGGGCACCAGTATCGTCTCTATTTGTCCCAGCCCTGAGATTTTAGCAGCCTCTCCTTACTCGTCCTTCCCAACACTTTCGTACTGGAGGCTCTGTCATGGTCAGGGGAATGAGACCCATTATTGTTACTGGTTTTGGCATATCGAATACGCCACGGGGAGCTTGCCAGGCTCTGCTGTGCACTGGGGACAGAGATGGTGGAAAATGTGCACTGGTGGGGGGGGATGGATGTTCGATAATTTTATGACTGAAACTCAATCATGAAAGCTTTGCAACTGTATCCCACGGTGATTCAAAAAAAAAAAGAAATTATCTTCCGACATTCGGAGATAATATAGAAGGTCAATTGCTTGCCTTGCAGTTGGCTTTGGAATGGGATTTTGGTCCCTAGCAACACCACTAGGAGTCATCCCTGAGCTCAGAGCCAGTGGTAAGCCCTGAGCCCTGCTGGGTGTGACCAAAAAACAAACCAAACAAAAAAATAAAAAGTTTTCTTCCTTCAGAGCGGAAAAGCAAGTCTTTTTATTCCCTTCTTGCTGATCACCAAATGCAGGCCACCCTCAGAAGGGTGTGACTGTGGGCCATGACTCAAGCTGAGATGGACTCAGGAGAGACAGTGGGTGTGGTTCCACAGACTCCTCTCTGGTGGGCAGACAGCCTCTCCTGGATGACCTGCAGTATTGTGACTGAAAGGAAATGTCTCTCTGCTCATTCTGATGACCAAAATACATCTCTCATCCAATTTGGACTTCATCTATACTTCCTGACTCACAGATCCCCAAAGCCTTGAAGTTTCCTAAGTACTTTGAGAAATGAAGGTATCTCTTGTGATGTTAATGAATGTGGCTTTTAAAAATTATTTTCAAGTTGCAGTGTCAATTGCATGCAATGGTTTTGCTGTTGCGAAGCTACTACTCCAAATCTACCAGTGTTTTATGGTTATTCCACCATTATCTTAGGGTCCCCTCCTCCTTTTCCCTCACCTGAGTATGGAGGGTAAATACCAGGAAAATCAACATGGAGAGAAGGTTGGATCCTAGTCCTACATCCTGACCTCTTGGGGGAGGGGTTGGAGGTAGAGTTGAAATGACAAAGGCAAAAGAGTTGAACATTATCTAGATATTGAAGCTTCCATAAGCCCAAAAGGAGGGTTTTTAAGGAGTTCATGTTGGTCAACACATGGAATTTTACAAAGATTGGCAACACGAAAAAAGCTCCATACTGTTCTTTCATACCTTACCTCACCTATCTTTTCTTTCTGGCTGTTCCTGAGTTAGATCTTTTGTTATAAACTGGTGGCCTAGTGTGGAAATGAGTTCTGTAAAGTTGTCTGATCTACTCAGCAAATTAATGGAAATTGGGGAGAATGTCTGACAGATAGCCAAGTTAATTCCCTGGGCTGGCAAAGGGAACACGAAGTCTGAGATGGAGGTCATGGAACCTTCATTCTGTAGATGCTTGATCAGGACACAGGTGGCAGCCTGGACTTGTGAGCAATGTCTGAGACAGAAAGAGACCTTGGGAGTCTGAACCCTGTTGGTTGGTGGTGGAAGACACCAGACAAATGCTGGAAATCAAGGACACCAAATACACAGGTATATCTTTTCTCCAAAATTAGATAATGTCCACAAATGAATCGAGACACATCCTTCCAAAAATATTGCCATATAAATGAGGAATCTTATGTAAGTGAAAATATCTTTTGAAATGTTGTTAGGTGGAATTGTTTGGCATCTAAAACTGAACTAAAAAACTGAGAACAGGGACTGAAGAGATAGAAAAAAAGTTAAGGCATTTTCCTAGTGTATAGGTGCAGCCACAAACCTGGCTCAAATCCCAGAACCACATGTGGTCCCCTGAGCATCACAGATGTGGTCCCTGAGCACAGATCCAGGAGTGATTCCAAGCTCATCTACGTATAACCCAAAAACCTCCCTCACAAAAAGAAAATTACTGATGAAAACAATTTAGCTGGGAGGAAAAGATGAAAGAAATAAACCACAAAGCTCTAAGTTAATGAAAATGTAGAAATTTGTATATAAATAGATGATGTAAAATATAAATTTCTTGCATCTGAGCGATGTATCCTTTTTGCCAGGACCAGAGTGTGTTTGCGTATGCATGTGTATATGTGTGCATGTGTGTGTGTGTTTGTGATAGGGCTGGGAGCAGGGAGCCCATCTTTCACCTACTCTGATCCTTCATAACTAACCTTTTTGGACTACAACTTAATATACAACTTCTGATTGTCATTTTCAGCAAGTTTCCACTAAAGCGAGAAAGCCATCCTGACTTTCACAATACAGAAATTTGACATTTGTATTGTAATTTCATGAGTTTTTTGCTGCATTTCATAGGTGGAAAATATTAGATTCTGTATGTTCTCCTAGAATAGTCTGGATCATAGCCACAGTCTGCAACTCTCTCAGTGAATTTGTCCAACAGGCACTTGTCTGAGATGGGAGAATATATTATACATACATTACACACATAATATTATTTTTCTTCAATAAGAAAAGACATGTTTCTCAGTTTAGCTTTTATTTATTTATTTTTGCAGATTTAATTCTCTAATCTTTCCTTACTCTCCTTTGACAAAGACATTGACAGTGAAATAGACCTGTCCTATAAGAACCACCATGGTGCTAACATGGCGATCTGTAGCAATTGATGTTCAGCTTTGGCATGGGAATAGAGAATATTGGAGTTTGTAACAAAGCACAAAATATTAGCTCTGTCTATAGGAGTGACTCACTAATTCCCTTTACTATCTTCTATTTGAATTTCTAGAATCCCATATTTTACCTACTCTGATCCTTCATGACTAAGCTTTTTAGACTACAAGAGGCTCCCTTAACATACAACTTCCAGTTACATTTGACAAACTATGAGTTTGGCAATTGGAAGGACAAAGAGTAAAGTTTGGATATTTATTCTTCCCAGGTCTTTTGTAAGGCATCATCAGGTGCTGGAGGTCTTCTCTCCTCTTGGCTATAGCTCTCTGAAACAAGTTTCTCCTCATTGGGCTGATTGTGTCCAACGTGTGACTCTTCCTTGGCCTTTTAACACCAGAGCTGCTTCTTGAGGCCATTC